CGGTTTGTGTCCTAAGGAATAATCTTGTGTCTTAAGGAATAATCCTGTTGTTTTGGGAATAACTTGTGTCTTAAGTATGGTCTTAAGGATGTGTTGGTGTCTTAAGGATGGTCTTGTGCTTAAAGGATGGTCTTGTGTCTTAAGGATGGTTTTGTGTGTTGGATATAATCTTGTGTCGTAGGAATAATCTTGTGTCTTAAGGATGTGTTGGTGTCTTAATGTTGGTCTTGTGTCTTTAGGATGGTCTTGTGATATAAGGATGGGTTGGTGTCTTAAGGATGGTCTTGTGATATAAGGATGGGTTAGTGTTTTGAGGATTGGTTGGTGTCTTAATGTTGGTCTTGTGTCTTTAGGATGGTCTTGTGTTTAAAGGATGGTCTTGTGTTTAAAGGATGGTCTTGTGTTTTAAGGATGGTCTTGTGTTGGGAATGATCTTGTGTGTTAGGAATAATCTTGTGTGTTAGGAATAATCTTGTGTCTTAAGGAAGTGTTGGTGTCTTAATGTTGGTCTTGTGCTTAAGGATGGTCTTGTGCTTAAGGATGGTCTTGTGCTTAAGGATGGTCTTATGATTTAAGGATGGGTTGGTGTTTTAAGGATGGTCTTGTGTATCACCCTTATGTATGTATTAAGTATTGTGTGATCTCATTTTGAAAAGCATGAGCAGCTTAATGACTGTTGTTTCTCTTCTCATATTCCGTCTTTGCGTATTGCAGAGTTATCTTCTCTTGGGAGCAGGTATTGATTGTTACGTCACTTGTTTGTGAGAGTAACGTCATCAATTTTTGAGAAAACGACGTAATTTTCTCGCACAAACCAATGACGTAACAATCAATACCTGCTCCCAAGAGAAGATAACTCTGCAATACGCAAAGACGGAATAGCTAGTTAGGACAGTAAAATGACATGGTAGCTCAAATGGGTGGTCTCTCCAGAAAGATTACGACTTCGTTGTTGAATTACTATTCACAACAGTGACCTATACAGGTGCATGTTTAAATTTAGACGTATTTTGACTGCTGCTTATAAATGATTTAAGAACACTTCTGTAAATGTCCAAGTACCTTGTTAAGTCTAATGATATTGTCACACCAATGAAAATTTGTTAATCGATTCTTCAGTAAAAAAAAGTAGGGCCTATTTTCTTTTCAAGCAGTGTCAGGTATTAACAACAGGTGTGTCTGTCATTAATTCAAATATATTCATTCCTTGGACCATTACATCTCCGCATTGTTCGAGACACGTCTCAAATTTGAAAAAAAGTTAGGTTTTAATTAGGGGGAGAAAAATCTTCTCAAGCGATATTGATTTGTTTGTATTTTGCATTCAAACCATTTATGGCGTTAACTTATACCGGGATTTCCAGCGCCTGAAAATTAGAATACAAAGCTTTTCATAATATTACATAGCTTGTTAAAAACAGGAAATTTCTTTTCGATCAATGGAGGAGTAAAATGTACACTTTTGAGTGAGCCTATTAAAACCCTTATCGAGTTTGAGATTGAAGGCTTCTGTGTCCTGTACTGTTTTACACACACAACTTACGTTTTCAATAACTCTCGCATCAAGAGCTATCGAACCTTCCAATGAAAGGATCACTTTATTCCACACAACCACGCCGTCCAAGCATTGTCGACGTAAATGTGAGCAAATATACACTTTAAATTAGCATTATAATAACCGGTATGTTATTTGATTGGAAAGCAAGTTAGTTTTGAAATAACACCAATTACATAAATACAGAAATTCTTGTTTTCTGATGTGTTTAAAACAAATTAAGGCCTTTTTGAACTTTTTTAAGATTGAATTTGAAGTTGACAGAACTTAAGATGATGTGTCACTGTGGAACAGAACAAATATATTTCTTCAATCTGGACAATGGCGATCAGATGGAAACTTGTAAACATAATACGCTGGTGCCTCTGCGTCTCATCTCAAGTACTCGGCATTGTGGGGCGAAACGCATCCCATGATTGCCTTGTGTGGTAGAATTGATACAGGTTCTCGGGACCAACACTCAAGACCCGATCACCAAGTCTCAATCTCCCCCATTCTCCCAGCTCCGCGAGGGTGATATAAAACATAGCCTAACTGGGTGGAATATATATAAAGCCTGGGCTTTGATTTGCAAATAGCAGAATCAATGGGAAATAACAACTTGAGAATTAAAAACGTTGAGACATGCTGTTTCTTGAATACATTATTTTTTTTCCTTTTTTCGAATGAAGTAAATCTGTCCCTGAAAGGCGTAACTAAGCGATAATACTTGTCACCAGGGGAACAATGTAATGGCGTTTGCCATTGAAATCCACCCCTGATCTATCTTGTTTTCTCGGTCATGTTGGAAGGATCTTTACAATGTCAGCAACATATCGTACAAACTGCTGTGTTGAAGCATCATGATGAATCTTTATAGATTTCATTAAGGATATACGCTACCTTAACATGACATATTTCAACCTTCTACCAACAAGAGTTCTAAAACATTATAAAAAGCTTTCTTGAATTATAAAAAGCTTTCTTGATATCGTTGAACAAAATTATTTTATTGATCATTTATAATTACTGTTCATTGTTATTTGATAGCAATATGACATATAAACAATAGACAGATGATTGCGTTCAGTTCTAACACCTGTTAAATAAATAGACAAGTATTATGTATAATCTCCAGACAAAAGACCAATTGGAATATTACTTACCTGACAGGTTTTCTTACTCAAAAAACATATTTCTAACGTTTACTTATTTGGTTTTAGTTTCAATAACCTTGCAGAATTTACGAAGTCTGCATGAACTTGCAAAAAAATGCATTCTTTGGAAGTTAAAATGAATGAGATAATTTGAATCCTTGACAACATTTCTTTTCCAAAACCTTAAGAATAATTCCAAATGTATAATTAAGGCTTATATATGTAACAATTTATAATTACCAGGTATATATATATGAAAATGTAGCTATTATCCACAGAGTTTGTAACTTGGGATCTGACCAACATTGACGGCTTTACTTTTACGCTGAGCACAAACCCTGAAGTGTGAAGTGGGCCACTAATACATATACAAGTGATTGTTTCCTGACTGGCTGAGGGCCACTTATGGTACTATCTATGTATATTGAAGGGTTGTATAAAACAGGAAGTCATGTGACCCTGATATTCGATGTATGATTGCAATTGCATAATACAGGAAGTCATGTGGCCCTGTTTGAAGGTCGTATAATACAGGAAGTCATGTGACCCTGTTGTAGGGTTGTATAATACAGGAAGTCATGGAGCCCTGTTGTAGGGTTGTATAATATATGAAGTCACGTGGCCCTGTTGTAGGGTTGTGTAATACAGGAAGTCATGTGACCCTGTTATAGGGTTGTATAATACAGGAAGTCACGTGGCCCTGTTGTAGGGTTGTGTAATACAGGAAGTCATGTGGCCCTGTTGTAGGGTTGTATAATACAGGAAGTCACGTGGCCCTTTTGTAGGGTTGTATAATACAGGAAGTCATGTGGCCCTGTTGTAGAGTTGTATAAAAAATAGGAAGTCACGTGACCCTGTTGTAGGGTTGTATAATACAGGAAGTCATGGGGCCCTGTTGTAGGGTTGTATAAAACAGGAAGTCATGTGGCCCTGTTGTAGAGTTGTATAAAAAATAGGAAGTCACGTGACCCTGTTGGAGGGTTGTATAATACAGGAAGTCATGGAGCCCTGTTGTAGGATTGTATAAAACAGGAAGTCACTTGGCCCTGTTGTAGGGTTGTATAAAACAGGAAGTCGCGTGGCCCTGTTTTAGGGTTGTATAATACAGTAAGTCATGTGGCCCTGTTGTAGGGTTGTATAAAACAGGAAGTCGCGTGGCCCTGTTTTAGGGTTGTATAATACAGGAAGTCATGGAGCCCTGTTGTAGGGTTGTATAATATAGGAAGACACGTGGCCCTGTTGTAGGGTTGTATAATACAGGAAGTCACGTGACCCTGTTGTAGAGTTGTATAAAACAGGAAGTCATGTGGCCCTGTTGTAGGGATGTATAAAACAGGAAGTCATGTGACCTTGTTGTAGGGTTGTATAAATCAGGAAGTCACGTGGCCCTGTTGTAGGGTTGTATATACAGGAAGTCATGGAGCCCTGTTGTAGGGGTGTATAATATAGGAAGACACGTGGCCCTGTTGTCGGGTTGTATAATACAGGAAGTCACGTGACCCTGTTGTAGAGTTGTATAAAACAGGAAGACATGTGGCCCTGTTGTAGGGTTGTATAAAACAGGAAGTCACGTGGCCCTGTTGTAGGGTTGTATAATACAGGAAGTCACGTGACCCTGTTGTAGAGTTGTATAACACAGGAAGTCATGTGGCCCTGTTGTAGAGTTGTATAATACAGGAAGTCATGTGGCCCTGTTGTAGGGTTGTATAATACAGGAAGTCACTTGGCCCTGTTGTAGGGTCGTATAATACAGGAAGTCATATGGCCCTGTTGTAGAGTTGTATAATACAGGAAGTCATGTGACCCTGTTGTAGGGTTGTATAAAACAGGAAGTCACGTGGCCCTGTTGTAGGGTTGTATAATACAGGAAGTCACTTGGCCCTGTTGTAGGGTCGTATAATACAGGAAGTTATGTGGCCCTGTTGTGGGGTTGTATAATACAGGAAGTCACTTGGCCCTGTTGTAGGGTTGTATAACATAGGAAGTCACTTGGCCCTGTTGTAGGGTCGTATAATACAGGAAGTTATGTGGCCCTGTTGTGGGGTTGTATAATACAGGAATTAAGTCATGTGGCCATGTTGTAGTGTTATCGTAACATTTTTCCTACTATGAACACATATAAAAGTATGATATTGTGAAATATTTAGAGATAAAGTATCTTGATGTTACACACATTGTAATGTACTCCAAATTATCTTTCTATCATAAAATGCTCCCTGAAAATGGAGCTAGCACTATTGAGCTTGCTATAATATCTCATGTTTGATCCTAAGCGATCATCATTGATATATTATCATATATTTTTACAGCCCGCAAACTTGGCCCACCTGAGGATGCTAACCTGACCGCATTTGCTGATCAAGAACCATCAGAGTATAGGTGTGCATGTCTGCCGAAAGATGACCACCAGTGTGATCAGTTGGGGCACTGTATCACATTTAAAGGTGCAGGGGTAAGTATCACAGTGAAGGGTGACGACCAGTGTGATCAGTTGGGGCACTGTATCACAGTGAAGGGTGACGACCAGTGTGATCAGTTAGGGCACTGAATCACAGTGAATGGTGCAGGGGTAAGTATCACAGTGAAGGGTGACGACCAGTGTGATCAGTTTGGGCACTGTATCACAGTGAAGGGCGACGACCAGTGTGATCAGTTAGGGCACTGTATCACAGTGAAGGGTGACGACCAGTGTAATCAGTTATAGGGCACTGTATCACAGTGAAGGGCGACGACCAGTGTGATCAGTTAGGGCACTGTATCACAGTGAAGGGTGACGACCGGTGTGATCAGTTTGGGCACTGTATCACAGTCAAGGGTGCAGGGGTAAGTATCACAGTCAAGGGTACAGGGGTAAGTTTTATAACTTAAGTTAGACTGTGTTACTATGAAGGGTGCAGGGGTATAACATAACCTAGGACTGACTGTTTTATTGTGAAAGGGGAGGGGATGGATTTTCCCAACTACGGGCAAACTGTCATTTTGAAGGGGGCAGATCTATGCGTTTTATAAGTGCTGATTTTATATTATGAGAAAATAATCCAAAAATTTGTTGGGATTTTGGTAAAATTTATGGGATGAAAAATACCATGGTAACCCTAAATATTAAAATATAAGTTATGGAACACAATGGGATTAAGGCATAGAGATAGCTAACTGCTAGAGGATTAAGTTATGAAGACTGTTAACTTGTTGGTACTTCTCCTTCTGCAGTGCTTTACAAGTAGAAAGCAGAGAGAGGGGGTTGTGATTCTATCGCAAGGATGTGCGCGGAACGACGAGAACCAGAACATGAACTGCCAGGGTCGGCGTCGTCAGGGCTGGGATGTGGAGGGTGTTATTGCTATGGCATGCTGTGTCGGTGACCTCTGCAACTCCCCGATACCCACATTCTCCTCACACGAGTTCAAGGGAAATGATCCAGGTAATTATATAAAAAGTCTGACCTTCATATTCTAAATCATTTTGATAGCTAATACCTCAATTTTTTCCTTTTTCCTTTTTAGGTCACCTGAGCTTTAGCTCAAGTGACCTATTGCTATCCGTTTTCGTCCGTCGTCGTCCGTCGTCCGTCGACATTTTACATTTCAAACTTAAAGTCAAGTTCTGCTGGGCCGATTGAACTGAAAGTTGGTAGGAATGATCGCCTCATGGTCCTGACAAAGTGTTGTTATTTTTCGGGTCGATCAGAAATCCAATATGGCCGCCACGGCCGCCATTTTGAAAACCTATTTCAAACTTAAAGTCAAGTTCTGCTGGACCGATTGAACTGAAAGTTGGTAGGAATGATCGCCTCATGGTCCTGACAAAGTGTTGTTATTTTTCGGGTCGATCAGAAATCCAATATGGCCGCCACGGCCGCCATTTTGAAAACCTATTTCAAACTTAAAGTCAAGTTCTGCTGGACCGATTGAACTGAAAGTTGGTAGGAATGATCGCCTCATGGTCCTGACAAAGTGTTGTTATTTTTCGGGTCAATCAGAAATACAATTTGGCTGCCATGGCCGCTATTTTGCTACTAAATTCTAATAGGCCGATCTCACTTAAAATTGGTCTAGGAATGATCAGCTCATGGTCCTGACAAAGTTAAGTTAACATTATACTATTTTTTATTCAAATTGGTACATATTTCAACAAAAAAAAAAAATACTGTAGACTCAGGTGACCGTTAAGGCCCATGGGCCTCTTGTTATGTTGTAAAAGTGGAATTTAATTTTTCAACATTTTGACAGTGTAAACTATATTTTTATAGTATAGATTTGTTGATAATGTTACTGCAGTATATATACTTTCTATAGAGGGGCAATATGCTGGCACTTGCATACTTTTTTTTTTTTTTTTTTTTTTTTAAAGTTCTTTGAATTGAACATCTCAAAATATTTGGATTAGCGTTACACAATCTCATTGTCTTAAGATGTTTTGGGACAGAAAGATGGTTCTTATAGTTTATATAATTAGTAGTGGTAAACATTATTGACAGTCACACTGCCCTAGGCATAACTCCTAACTCTTCAGATGGCTAAATGTCGCCTGCTAAAATCTGGTCTTGTATGTTCCCCACTTGATGCAGTTATGTCCCTTTGTTAACTATTTGTGACATTGTCGTGGATGTGTAATACATACTCTGTCACCTATAATTGTCAAATTTGAGGTGAGTGCATGAAAACTAAAAAAGGTTTAGTGTCACAAGCTGTACAGAGTTATGGCCCTTGGGTCATATATTCTCTGTCAAAAAAATATCAAATTGTCTTAAGGGGAGTGCCTCAAAACTGAAATCAGGTTCTGTGCTCCAGTATATACAGAGTTATTGCCCTTCGTTCATATCTTTACGTCATAGTTTATTTGAAGGTGGTAGATAGTATTAACCGTACTAATGTATAAATTACCAGTATATAGGAAACCTGTGACTTTTTTTACATCGCAAGTTCATGTTTGGGATTGAAATATTAATAAACGGTAATGTTGTTATATTGCTGTGATCCTACCTGACAAATTTAGAGGAGAATGACAATGTGAAGACGTTGCAAAATAAATAAAGTATATTCGTTAAAGTTATAGGGCGAAAAATAAAACAGCATAATTAAGTATCATTGGTGAAACAATAGGAATATTGATGTGAAAATGTGGTTAATATTTTCGTTTGTATATTTAATGTAATTAACATGATATGTAAACAAGTGGTGTGGGTATAGATGTGTGGAGAACTTGAATGCGGTATTTGTCAATATTGTATATTATATATTAAAGGACGGATCCCAGGGCTCCTCAATCCTGGTCTCCCTTCCTTACATGTGCTGAGGGAATGAAATTCTAAAAGAGAATAACTGTAGGGGAAAAATTTATAATGCAAAAATCTAGGATCTTACATGAGTTTCCATTTCATATGAGATTTATGAAACGAGTCTTAAGAACTTTTCAATTAAGCGAGCCTCTCGCTAGCTAAAATGAAAAATTTGTAACGAGTTTCATAAATTTCATCTGAAATGATAACAATTGTAAAGTCCTTTTTATCTCATAATCAAGATTTGTGGCACTTATTTATGTAAAACGACATTTTTCATGCAACTTTGAAATGTAAAAAGCCGCCATTTTGACTCCAGTGCGTAAGTCTGTGACATCATGTACTTGTCCTAGGTGTGACGTCACAATTGAAACAATTGAAACGTATCACCAACCACAGGCCAGGGCTGATGGGTCATATTACATGGGTTCATACGCAAAGAAATATGACATGGGTATATTCACTGGATAGCACAGTACATTATGTGATAAAATCAACCTCATTGTTTTGCAGTAGTGAACAAGGAAGATGAAACGAGTTTCCATTTTGAACTGTTCCTGGCGATCGGGGTGCCCATTGTCATCCTCATCGTGGCCTTGCTGGGTGTCTGGCTTTTCTTCAAACATATCCGAAAGCGACGCCGGGAGATCCACGAAAACCTGCGTGTCAGACAGGAACTTCTGCACGAGGAATATGGAGGCATTCGAGCAACCCAAGTCGGAGATAGTACCCTTAAAGTAAACACATCTTGCTACAGTTTTCAAAATGTTTTTGATTTAATACAATCTAGGAAGGGAAGTGTGGGGGAGGGTTTTGTTCATCTTAAGGCTATTTCGAGATAATTACATGCTTCTCAAATTTAGAAGTCCCTAACTTAAGGCAGGCCTTCAGTTTTTCTAACATTTTTTTTCTTTTTTTCTGTTTTCTGTTAATTACACAAGTTAATGATTGTTTCATGATTTTGATTATCATAACTTAACTAGTAGCACCAAGTATTTCATTTTATGCAATGGATACATACTTCATTCTTTAATCCACAAGTTCAGACTTTCTTGGTTTTGTAGGATATCCTCCAGCACCCACAATTAAGTCAACATTCCTAGCTAACTCTCCTTCATAAAGACATGGCGGGGTTTATATTCTGTATATCTTTTTCAGGCCACAAATGTATCAAAAATGATTGAATATGTGTAGATAAACATTTGGGAGATATTTCAATACACAGTCAATTCTCATTGCAAAACTTAAAGTGATTTCATCAGTTTAAATGAAATCTGTAGGTACTTGTATTTTATTAAAGTCATCTTTAAGTTGACAAGTATGTTAAAGGTACATGTATAATCAAAGCAATTTTGATGATTTGATTTCTCTTCATGTTTTGATTCATGTTTTATTGTTTTTTTTTGGATTTTGTGAAGACTTAAAAATATTTAAGCATCAACAAAGATGAATTATATGAAGCAGAAAAGTAAAATATTTTTTGGTGATGACAGGAGGTGTACGATCAGTCTTGTACGTCGGGAAGTGGTTCCGGTCTGCCGTTCCTGGTCCAGCTGACAGTGGCGCGACAAGTAACTTTGGTGGAATGCATAGGTATACACCCACATCAACATATTTAATTAACATAAATGAAATATGTACAATATATAAGCAAGTCGAAGACTTTAGACATCAGGGTCCATTCTCCTCCACTTTCCCCCTCAATGTTTGCTACTCAGGGATGCATTATATTCTATCAGGAGATATCTGGAGATGTTGTAGGAGAGGAACTAAGCTCTATCAGGGAAGATATTTGGGACTGAAATATTTTCTATTGAGGTACAAATGATGGACGATAGTAATAGCCTGCAATGCCAATACTTGGTAACTATATAAAAAGTGAAAGGGGAAGTATTTTCGATTAAAATTCTAAATTCAACATGTACAACAGAAAAACAAAAGAAAAGATATTGTAAATAAGAAGCATATATTGGGTAAGAAAGGGCACTTTATCTTTCAAACTTTGGATCACCCCATGGTAAAGCCTGTGTCGATCAATTTTTTCCATTAAGTACTGGTAGTCGATAACCACTGAGAAGATTTAGACTTAATTTGGTACGTAGTGCCACTAGGAAACAGGACTTAGTATGTATGTACAAATGAATCGGATCATCTCCTGAGGGCAGAGGGCAGGCTTTATAGGGAAAACGGTGATACATAGGGAAAACGGTGATACAGAGGGATTTCGACCTATTTGGGATACTGAAACCTGGGTCAAGAGGATGAGTATAGTATAAAATGAAGGATATGGCCAACTAGGGGAGCCTCGTCTGCTGGATAACCGAGCTTCTCGTTAGTGAACCGGATGTTAAACCACTCAAACAAACGAACAAATATGGGGTTGGGTGAATCCAAAATTTTTAATGGAGGCGAGTCTTGAGTACAGGCGAAATGATTTTAAACCTTGAGTATCCAGACCAGAGCCTAAAGAGCTGCTGTTGATGATCAATAAGAGTTATGACAAGATGGTCGCATAACTGCATCCTGAAGGTCAAGGTCACAGTATATGGGGTCAAATATCAAGTAACTGCATTGCTTGTCGGTGCTGTATCTTCAGAAATGTTCATTTCTTTTATTTCGTTGAAACCTTGAGGTATGTGTCTTAGTCACACATATTTCTGTGTAGTGATGATTTAAGGTGTATCATAGATAACCAAAGACTTACAATTTGCCATATATACTCTTCTGTAAAAGTGGAAGTTTTTGCGATGTGGAAATGCAAGCACTTTTCCCCTTCGAGGAAATTAGTATGATAATATCTGAATGTGAATATATACAATAATATTGATTATAGGTATAAAGATTTTATAGATTTCAGAATCAATGCCAAAGTGAAAATTTCCAAACTGTTATTGGTTTAAAGAGTTGCAACATTTTCATTTCTGCATACGCTTATACGCCTCTCTTTACCCTTTCACCCCTATGTAACTTCAATAGACTCTACCATGCATTGATATTGATATGGATGAGTCCATTATGGTCTACAGTGGTTATAGGGTTAAAGCATCAGGATACCTTGAATGTCAAACCAAAAAATCCCCTGGAATCTCCTACTCATAGTTTGATTATCATTACAGGAAAGGGAAGATATGGAGAAGTCTGGAGGGGGCGTTACCATGATGAAAATGTAGCAGTGAAGATATTTCTGTCACGGGACGAAGCAAGTTGGTCCAGGGAAACGGAAATATATAACACCTGCTTGTTGCGGCATGATAACATCCTGGGATATTACGCATCGGACATGACCAGTCGTAACTCGTGCACACAGCTTTGGTTGATCATGCACTACCACGAACATGGCTCGTTGTACGACTATCTTCAGCGTACAATCCTAGACCATGATTCCATGCTGCTGTTGATGCATTCGGCATCCGCTGGACTTGTGCACCTCCACACAGAGATCATCGGTAACCAGGGGAAACCTGCTATTGCTCACCGGGACATCAAATCCAAAAACATTCTCGTTAAAAGTGATGGGACATGTTGTATCGGTGACCTCGGACTCGCGGTGACACATTCACAGGAAAACAACAAGATAGACTTAGGGCGAAATAATAAAGTAGGCACAAAGCGTTACATGGCACCGGAGTTGTTGGAGGAGACGTTAAATCCATACTTCTTCGACTCATTTAAAGCGGTGGATGTGTACGCCTTCGGTTTAGTAATGTGGGAGGTAGCTCGGCGCTGCACAATTGGAGGTGAGCAAGCTGATATTGTTATTATAAACTCAGAGTCTGTTTATGTCAGTCCTATTTTGGTGATTATTTTCATTTGTCTGACTTATAGACACACTCTGTTAATATCACAGTCTCAGGTTTTTTAATGTCTAAATAATGGAGACAAACTAAGGTACAGGTATATTTTTACGAACAAGGTCATATTTTTTTTTACTTCAGATAAGGTTTTAAAAGTCATTGACTGTGAATATTAGATTAGTCTGAGAAGTTGTGATTTCGTATTGTTTTCTCTTTATCTAGCTAGGAAACACAGAACTCACTCCAGGTTTATATAGGTTGTAATATAAATTAACCTACCACAGCAGTTCAAATAGATAAAAAAAATATCGATATCATTTTCCTTTTCTGTCACTAGCATTAGTTAGGGACCTGCATATACTTTTTACTGTGTGATTTTTATATATATAAATATAAATTTGCACAGTATTGAACTTGATATTTTTGAAATGCACATGAGCACCAAAAATTGGGTTAAACACTTCACTGCCACAAATAAAAAGTCCAATGAAAGAATTAGACTAAGGGAGGTAACTACATCGATCCGTCTTGCACATCCTGATATCTTGTTTGATGTAAAGCGGTATAGCTATGGTTGACATGCAGGACTTTTCCTCCTGTTAAGCAGGAGAGCTTTCCAAAGGGATATAATTGGGATTAAAACTCGTTCTATTAGTATATAAATAAGGGTCCGGTAGTAGTCCAGGAAACTTAGTGTTATATCATTAATATTGTTTTTTATTTAAAAGCATCAATTTGAGTTTTAGTTATAAATTATACTTTATTTATTTTACAACAATTGTGAAACAAGGTTTATCAACTTGTATCAATCACTCTTGTTGGCCCAAATGGTAGCATGCAGTGGGTCTTAATGTAGGAGGAAACTATAGAACTCAGAGAAAACCCACATGGTCGGCAGGTGACCCAATCCCTATTCACGTCTGATCGGGGAATTGAAAGCTTGCTGTTTTATCTAAACCATTCACCCTTAAGTCACATTTGAAACTTACCAAATGAAAGACTGGGCAGTCCATTTTAAATTATAGTCTCGAATGAGTTAAATAAATCAAGCCCTAAATAGAACTGCTAAATTTTTTAATGATAACCTAATTTCACTCTATAATGGTTTAATAATTACAATGTTATAGTAAAATTAAAATCGCACACAACTTGGTTAGCTCACAATTTCAATTTTGTCTTGAATGTGTTTGTTAATTCATCAATGATTAACAGTTAGATACTGCTATATATCAAAGGCAGGTACAAATATATCGAGCCAATGATAATGTGTGGTCCTCCATGTATTACAGGTATAACAGAAGAATACAAACCCCCTTTTTGGGATGTGGTCCCTTCAGATCCATCATTTGAGGATATGAGGAAAGTGGTTGCCGTGGATACACAGAGGCCAATGGTACCGAACAGATGGACATTGGATCCGGTCAGTAAATTTGTACACCTCATTATGTTCAATTAATTGACTAGAACTTGATAATAAGATATATCACCATTCACACCTTACATTTTGTTCACAATCAATTGAACTTTTGATAATATATCGTACAGTTCAGACTAATTATAATTGGTTAGTAATGGTTGGATGTCTGGTACAATTTTGAAAAGAAAAAAAAGGGATATATCTGCCCTCTTTTATAAACTGACTGCATGTGGGGGAAAACTGGATAAGTGATGGCTGATTTTATTGAGGTACAATGTATATATGTTGTTTCCAAGATCCTTTTTTTCTCCAGATTCAGTCGGGTTTTAGATACGCATGCTACGTGATAGACTACATATCTGACAAAAGGGTAGTAGTCAGTCAATACTGTACCCCTTTCTTGAGGAATGTGAAATCTCAGCCAGTTTCATCCAAATTTACCATATATTTACTTTGACAAACTTCGTTTGCTACTGATTTACTTTCACTCCAGAAGTACACTACCCCCTTAACTCAATCTCCCCTGAAATTTCATAATGAACTATTCCAGTCTTTGAATTGGGAAAGTTCAAATGTGTCTTCAGGGATGAATGAGTTAATATACCATGTGATAGCCCGAGTTTCCTTTGGCCCCAACACCAGACTTAAACTTTTTGACATATGGATGTCTGGTGTGGGGCCAGAGTGCACTGCCATATGAAGACGTGGAATTCTCGGATACCAATCAGAGAGTTATGAGGTGCTGACAACAAAAATCTTCTATGACACAACACATACCTCACATATATCGATAAATGGATTATTTATTGATTCAAATCAGCTGTAATTATCACCAACAGCTGCTAAATTCCATCAGTAGAGTCCTCGATTTTCAATCGTTATAAATTTCCCAACTCAGCAAATGGCATTTTTGTCTAATTTTTTTGTTGATTAGACACTCCCCGATACCAAACAGTGTCGGGACAATTTCACGTTTTCATATAGCAGTGCCCTCTGGCCCCACACTAGACATCAATATGAATAAGTCTAAGTCTGGTGTTAGGGCCTGAGGACAACTCTGGCTAACCATGTAATTGCCAAATCATGTGACTTTTGTTCTGGAAATGTGTATCTCGGAAACTACAAATTGTTCACAGACTAGAGAATGTTGTAGTATTATTTCATATGTCTTGATCTTGTGTGTTTCAGGTTATGTTACAGCTCTCCAGACTTATTCAGGAGTGCTGGGCACAGAATCCCAAGGCCCGACATCCCTCACTTCGTGTGAAAAAATCGCTTGCTAATCTAATGTACAGACCCAAAAAGAAACTTTTACAGAAGATAGAGGACTGTAAAGAGTGCAATAACTGCTGACATCACTCATGATGTCACCATTGTATGTGCACTTATAATATTACATCATCAATTCATGTGGTGTATATTCAGTGATGTGAACAGCAGCTGCATTGTGTGTACATAAACAATTACATCATCAGTTTGTGTGAAGCAACAACAGCCTGGCTGATGTCAGTGCTACATCATGACAGAATAATTTCTTCAGAGAAGATTGTCATTTTGTTGTGGACAAGTTCAGTGGAAATATCAGAAATCTTTAGCTGATAAGAATTTAACACGTTCTGTTGCTAGCACATAATGCACAAAGTACTGTTGAGAAAGGAACGTCAAGTTTGATGACATCGTCGTCTCGAGATCATCATTTCTTGTGTTTAGAATAGCAACATAATCATGACATCATCAGATTTCATACACAATCTGTGACATCATCAGATCTTGTGTTCAGGACCAGGACAAGATCAGTGACATCATCAAATGATGTGTTCAGTAACCGGAACAAGGGAAGCATTATCTTCAGACGAAGAACTTTTGTTCACGATTTTAATATCTTGAACAAAATTGATGAAAGATTACTTGCTTGAACAAAGCTGAAGAAAGAAACTTGAGTAAGAATCAACAATTTGGAGTTCGATTAGTAGATGGCTTATCAGAATCAGTGATTTTAAGATGGTAAAGAGTTGGTAACAAAATTTAGGGATGTGGTATGAGAATCAATGATTCGGATATAGAGAAATGGATGACATCAGAATCAGCGATTTAAAGATGGTAACATGTTGGTATCAAAATTTGTGACTTGGAGATATGGTATCAGAATCAGCAACTGATGAACTGAAAAAGAAAGGTAACAAAACCAACGATATGAAGAGAAAAAAGTGGGGGTATCACAGGTGTTATCAGGATTTCTCACATGATCTAGCTGTTGGAGGAAGTCTTGATCGATGTGTTGAAGACTAATAGGTCATTCTGCCCATGTATAGCACTCCTCACCTGCTACAGATATTGCCAAACGTTATTTTTTTTACTCAATATTAATGAAATCATGTCAGTTGTGTATTCAGTGAATGATGAGGCATGTTTTCAGTCCTGAATTTTTTTGGTCATTGTTCTATATATTGTGTATTTATAAAATTGAAACCTCTGATTACTTACAATGAATGACATAAACTCCATTAAGAATGCCTATTTCATATTTAATATGTTAGACACTTTTTTTTTCTCTATGATTTTCATATTGCATTCATATGAATAAATGCACCGCCTCTTACACACATGTACACATAAAGTACACACTTGGGAGTACGTCCTTAAATGACCTTAGTTGTTAATAGGACAAAATAAAACTGAAATCAATTTTAAAAAACCCACACAAGTGAAAAAAATTAATGCACACCATTTTTCTTATTATAAAAAATAAAAATGAAAAAATAAAAATAAATTGTGTTCTGCAAATATAAACTTTCCTACCAACCAAACAAACAAATCTTGGTTTACTCATTTACCCCTGAAAACACATCTGAACTCTTCCAGTTCAAAGGTTTGAATAGTTCATTTTGAAATTTCGGGGGTAAATGAGTTAATTTTACACCTGCACTTATCCAATACAAGATTCTTTGTCTAGTGTAACGGTAGTGGATTGTTTCTTTATTTATATATTTTCGTGTCATTATATCCTTATTTTCTGCGAATTGAGAGACCCAGAGTATCATTAGTGTCTAATACATTTGCTATCACAATTGTCATTGAAGCTTGTCATTGTCTTCTTGTCTTTCTGTGAAAAAGTCAAAATTTACATTTATACTAAGTAACATAAAAACAGTGGATTCTGTTAAGATTTTGGTGTCGTATTGTTATGTTGTGAGTTGTGATATTTTTTTTTTTATCTATAGAAAAATAGTATTTCTTAGTTCTCAGTTTTCTTAGTCAAATTAATCTATTGCCTCATACAAGGTTAATCATAATTATGCCCCGTCATTCTTCATATCCTTCAAATGGTTGAGTTTAAACAAACCTTGTACATGTTCAGCTGTAAACTATTTATGGCAGTTTCCCCTTTGTCAATTTATGGAGCCAGTTTAATTATTAACAAGTTTAATTGTTCGTTTCTGAGTCAGTTAAACCTAAAGCCTTGTACAAGTTTAATTATTCGTTCGTTTCTGAGTCAGTTAAACCTTTAGCCTTGTACAAGTTTAATTGTTCGTTCGTTTCCGAGTCAGTTTTAACCTATAGCCTTGTACAAGTTTAATTATTTGTTTCGGAGTCAGTTTAACCTATAGCCTTGTACAAGTTTAACTATTTGTTTCCGAGTCAGTTTAACCTATAGCCTTGTACAAGTTTAATGGTTCATTGCCAAGTCAGTTTAAACTATAGCCTTGTACAAGGTTAATGGTTCATTGCCAAGTCAGTTTAACCTATAGCCTTGTACAAGTTTAATGGTTCATTTCCAAGTCAGTTTAACCTATGGCCTTGTACAAGTTTAATCATAGTTATGTCCCATTATTCACCATATCCTCCGACTTGTTGAGTTTAATTGTTCATTCCTGTGTCAGTTTAACCTACCTTTGTACTTGTTCAACCGTAAAATCTGTCCACCCCTTCATAAAGTCCTCTGAGTTGTTCAGTATAATTGTACATAACATGAAAAACAAGAGAATCATGTTTCGTAGGCAGCTTAATTGAATCTTCTAAAATACGTTCATCACTTTATCATCAAGTCACCTGGTCAAACCAGACATACAACACACTATCTAGCATATAAACATTGACGTAACATCCTGATAACTTTCAACAAGAAATATTATCACGACATGATACCGTACTTATCCAGTAATAAGCCCATGCTTGGTAATTCCGTCTTTGCGTATTGCAGAGTTATCTTCTCTTGGGAGCAGGTATTGATTGTTACGTCATTGGTTTGTGTGAGAAAATGACGTCGTTTTCTCAAAAATTGATGACGTTACTCTCACAAACAAGTGACGTAACAATCAATACCTGCTCCCAAGAGAAGATAACTCTGCAATACGCAAAGACGGAATAGGGCCATCCAAATCTATTGCAGTTCAATAAAAAATGCAAACAAATGCTATTTCACTGTACTGTTAAAAAGAATTTCTCTCTCTCCTGGATTGTCTCTATCGTCTGAGTGAGTGAATATTTGTTTATGCCTGGGCTCATTGCAGAATATATAAGGTATTAATCACAGCATACTGTCCTTGTATCATTTGTTAAACAAGATGTAAAATCCCAAAATTGCTTGTAAAACAAGATACGCTTCATACTGATGTTGTTTGTAAAACATGATTTACTTCCCCATGTCATCTTGCTGGGTGTTTCCTTCAACATCACAGTTTCGCCTCAAAAGTTGACAGGGTCATCTTCGAAATTCAAGGGTTTAACTCTCATCATCAACTTGTTCTAGTGGGTTTTCTCCGGTAACTCTGGTATCCTATCACATTAATGTCACCTGTGCACAACCCTCCGTACTGCTGAGAGTGATTTATGAAAACTTGATAGAATCTGTTTCATAATTGTTAAAAAAAGAAAAGAAAAGTTAAATGAATGTTTCCCAGTCATGTGCTATTGAAAGTTGAGCCTGTGGATTTTGAAGATGGTGAAGTGGTCAATGGATTTATTTTGTGACCATATCAGATTTTCATTTCATAAAAGATGATCAGCTGTTTAAGTAAGCCCCTAATGGAAATGCATTGCCTTTCACCTATCCATACAGTTTGTCTGTCACGGACTTTAGCAATATGTAAGGTTTATTACAGTAACCAAATGTTAAAAAAGCTGATGTTTACCCAGGTACATTGGATATCATTTCTGTAGTTTATGTTGTGTAAGTTTAGGTTTAAACAATTATTAGCTGAGTTAGAGATATGATTATCTCCAGCTGTGGGCTTATAATTAAGTCACTGAGCTCAGCTTGAGGCAGACTTCAAGTGGTAGTGACATGGGCCTGGTTGTGTTTAAGTCTGATGAATTTTCTTGTTTAATTTAAGAAATATGATACCTTTCTATGACATTATAACCTCCTTTACAGAAGAGTTAATTAATCATTGAATTAGTAAAATATAACCTCTGATAAATGGGGATAGCTAGCACACGAAGGGAGATAACTCTAACACACTTAACAGGTAATACGTATGTGGAAATCCCTATAGAGTGATCAGATATTAGACTTTATCTTTCTCAATTTTATAGCATGTGTTATTGCTTCTGTATGCAGGTATTTAAGTTGGTTTACCTATATCAAGTACCAGTTGGCCATGGAAATGTTTCATTTTGAGTTTAGAATGAATGGTGACGGATACATTGTGTACCCGAGGGCATGTGGTTTATTTGTTACTGTATTTCTGAAATATTCACGAAGGTAATTTAATTTATGAACTGTAACAAATATAAGCAACTACCAGGTATGTTGTGATTCGCTTCAAACAAGTTGTTTTTCTGATTATTTTTCCTTCATCATTTTGCAATTTATCTTTGGTTGTGCGACAAAATCTAAGAATATATTAGGAAACATGTAGTTTTATTTACATTTAAAATGCATTGCACTTAAAACTAGTTTCTTCATCGTTTTCAATGCCTGTTGCTCTGGTTATCAGGGGTTGATGTTGCATTCTGCAATTTATTTAAACTTCGTTTTAAGTCCCACAAATGATACTGAAACTTTTGAAAATATTCTGGTAACATTTGTTTATAAACAAAAAACAAACATTGTATCAGAGATGTACAATTGTATGGTAAATTGCTTTTTGAAGTAAAATTATGATGTCATATTTATTTATAAATTGTACTGTAAATATGTTTGATTACCTGGTACCTTAAAAAATGACAGAGAAGAGTCATTCTGTCAGCCTGTATTGTGTGTACATACCATATCATAATGTGAACCTTTAAAAGAAAATTAAAATGAAGTGAATATTATACATGTATGTGTACTACAAGTTTGAAAAGCGAAAAAGAATTTTTATTGAGTATATTTTAAAAAAATGTCTATTCATTAATATTTGTTTGATAACTGTTTGTTTCCAAAGTTTATACATGTATCCCATACATGTGGCTTAAACACGTTGATCAAACATGTGTTACGCTATTGTTTCTTTATGTTTACAGCTTTAAAAGTTGAATGATGTAGATTTGTGTGTGCAAATGTGATGTAGATTTTGTATGTTGAAAAGTAACTGATGTATGTGTAACAGTGGTCTTTACTTATATTCTCCTGCCCAGATGTTCAAAGACGGAGTATAACTCCAATTCAAACCAAACTTTTCATGAAGAATATTATAAATATTCAGAATTAACTGGCAGAAGGCTAGAAATGGTTTTTAATCTTAAAAGTTATTAAGGATAACCTATGTTTGAAATTTTTATATTTAACAGTGTGGACAACTGAAATCAGCTGTACGATTTTTTTATGAGAGAATGTTGATTATAATATTATTATATTGAGTGTCACTTTTGTATTTACATAGTTATGTGAGGTTGGTTGAACAAATTGAATGATTTAAGAGTCCGGTTATAAAAAAACCCTTGTGTGTCCTAATTGTGAAAAGTGCTCTGTATGAAAGCCACAATCACAGTATTGTCTTAAAGTAAAAAGAGTGAAAGTCACAATCACAGTATTGTCTTAAAGTGAAAAGAGTGAAAGCAAGTTTGAAGTTGGAGTTTGGTCTAAAATTTTATTTTACAGATTTTTTTGTATGATATATCTTACAGTGGTTTATTGAAAATTTGATGACTACAACAGTTCAGAAAAAAAGTTTCACCAAAAATATAATGACTTGCCCTCGATTAAGAGAAAATTGAGTAGATTAAAAGAGAAATCTATTCCCTAGTGATAGTAGCCACTGTTTCAGAGTTATTGTTTTGTACAATATTGGTGTATTTTTACAGTCAGCAAAATATGGTCAAGGAAAATGTGGATTTAACTGCGTGGATAAAAGTGAAATCTTTTGTAAAACTCTTAACTATATACACTGTACATTGAGACAGCAAGGAGCAATTTTTTGTCATATCTATGTTAACAGCTCTTAAGCTTCCAGAAAAGGCAGGAACAGAAACCTGAAACTTTGAAATTAGTACAAGTTACGCTTCCAGAAAAGGCAGGAACAAAATCCTGAAACTTTGAAATTAGTAAAAGTTACGCTTCAGGAAAAGGCAGGCACAAAAACCTGAAACTTTGAAATTAGTACAAGTTACGCTTCCAGAAAAGGCCGGAACAGAAACCTGAAACTTTGAAATTAGTAAAAGATACGCTTCCAGAAAAGGCAGGAACAAAAACCTGAAACTTTGAAATTAGTAAAAGTTACGCTTCAGGAAAAGGCAGGAACAAAAACCTGAAACTTTGAAATTAGTAAAAGTTACGCTTCCAGAAAAGGCAGGAACAAAAACCTCAAAATTAAAAATTGGTAAGATTTGTCTTTCTTTATCTTCAACATTTGCCATTATAAGTATACAGATATTCTGAAGTGAAATGTTGTGTAGAAGTAAACCTGACAGCTCCAATGTGATTTACCTGTATTTACCTGTATTTGTTGATGATTGTGTTTATGTTTTACTTTAGGTAAGATATAGTTTATTTCTTATGATCAGAGGTCCCCTGTAAAACAATGTTGTAGATATTTAGTTAATTTGTGCAGTGGACACACTGATCAAACATTGTCAGCATCTGGTCACTACATGAACAATGTTGACAAAATGGTTCTAAATAATGAATAAAATCTTACAATTGAAAACATTTCTTAATTTCTTATTTAACTCATTCACCCTATATTCACATTTGAACCTTACCAAATCCAAGACTGGGCAAGTCCAGTTTAGATATATAGGGGTGAATGAATTACAATTTGTAATTTTCACTTACACTGTAAGTCTGTTGTTTACCAAATTCACTTTAACCCATTCACCCCTGTAGTCACATTTGAACCTTACCAAATCCAAGACTGGGCAAGTCCACTTTAAATATGTAGGGGGAATGATTTAAACTGACCAAAATACCTACTTTGCAGTACATTCAGTAGTGTTAGCACTCATTTGAATATTCAAGAAGTCACAGTTTTAGGACCCGAATACAGCTGTTGATGTATTGCCAATCTACCTTCAGTGTCATCAGCCAGGTCCATCAAAAGAAGGTCTCAACTCCAATCCTGGAAGTCGTGATACAGGGTCCTTAGTGTTGATCAGTGACCTAACACTCAATGGTGGGATTTCAGCTACTAGTAGAGCTCTCTCCACACTGCATCCAAAAATGATGGGATTATCTCTCTGATTCCGCGATCTCCTTCGGCTAGCACTATGGTTCTTCCCTAAATCCCAAGGCCTGGAACAAGCACGGACATCTCTTTGTTGTATTTTAACAGGAAATCCTTACATGGTATTCGTTCATTGTCTATACAATATTAAAGGCCATGTGTGACTTATCGTACGCATTTGCCAAATATAACTACACACCTATTCAGTCTTGGCTGTTCCCTTTGTCTCCCTTATTAGCCGACTCACAACACTTGTGTATGTTATACACATCAAGAAAAAGAAAAATCAGAAACACCATCCTTCTGTAATGTGACCGGACCTTATACTGCACCTTCGGCATGGTATTTCAGTAAGGTAACACTTTAAAGTCGGCATCATCGATCCGCGCAGCCGCTATCTGACGGAGGCAAGCACATCAATATACCACGTGCAGCACAAACGCATACATTACACGCATGCAGGAGGCACGTCCTTAATTGACCTTAGCTGTAAATAGAACACTAACTGTAAACCCAATAAAAAATCTGACCTTTCTGTGCTAATGTATCAATGTGTCCGTTTGCCGTCATGTATGTAATGATCCTTCTAGCTAATACTGAAAAGAATAGCTTGCCCTCAAATCCCAAACTATCCTCAACTCCCACACTATCCTCAACTCCCACACTGCCCTCATCAACACCAACGACTGACTAGTGTAGAAGCGTTAAATATTTCTTGCACACGATACCATTCTGCTGTAGTGTCGACCCGTAATCCTCGAATTCCAGGGGTAACGGTCACTAACGTTTTCTGTACCCAAGAGTAGGTCACGACACAATTGAAGGCATACAGTTATCAACTTAAAGTATTTGATTGGTTTCATGTATACGAAACTGACCAATCGCTAGGCTGATTCCTGTCCTTTGAAGATTACAGAGGAGAGACACCCAAAATTCAAAGCCGATTGTTTTTGCCGTTATGCTGCCGTGCGATTCTTTCAAGGATCAAATCAGTCGTCGTGTCCCATTCACAAGAAGCCGCACACCGAGCCTCTGATTTCGTCATGACATATTCCAAGGATGCAGAAAACGTAAAGAGAGCTACGCCCCTTGGATATTAAGAATGCTTCCCATTTGTCCTGTGATTTGTATGGGAGATTATATTGCTGTAGCTTTCGGTAGGTGTTGACGGCGGTTCCATTCTCTTAATGTGTTGCTTTCAATGTGTTATAACATCGCTTTTCTCATATTGCAGCATCCCTTCCATGCTGTCTATTACCTGGTTTCGCCGGAGTTCTAAATCTCACATTCTCTACAGATATATTGGCCTGGCTCTACCATCTTGCGATCAACGGTATTTTCAAAATCTCCGATTCAAACACTTCCCAGCACTTACTATCTTGCCATGTCGCTGCTGCAGTGGTTGGACAGGTGATCCTCTACCTCTGTTTACGTCAGAACGGGGAAACAAACGCCGGCCGTCTTATTGAAATGCGACTGCACTTTCCACTGTGTCACTTTTCTCGGTGGTATCTGTCTCTCATTTAGGAAAGAAATTAATGCTGGCTTTCTCTTATCCTTTTTCTCCAAGTCATAGATTGTAAAGTACACAGTCGAGTATTTTTTGCATAATTCCTGTGTCAGCGCTACTTGAAAGGGATGCATGACATATTCCAGGTTTCCTGAAGCTTAACACTAAAAGAAATTTCACAAAAACTACACCGAAACAAAATTGGATCTGATTAAAAGACAATGCCTAAAAGGAACAATCTCCTTAAGATATGAACCAGTGTCATAGAAAAAGCAAACGAGAAACTACATAAGATCTGTATATATCTACTGATAAAAATATATACAATTATGCATGTATATTCAGCAGTGCTAAGCCAGATAGCAAATTACTAAACAATGTACAGATATGGAAGGCCACAAATGAAAATTTAATTGAAAATCAAAGTCCGATTCTTTAAAACATTACGCGGAAATCAAAACATTCTTGAGAAAAATATGTGTGTAACTTGTAAAAACGAACATATTATATGGTCTTGATTGCATTAGATGCTAACATCTAAACCCATGGTTTCATGCCTTTAAATGATCCGTTCACAAGATTTGGCTATAATTAGGTCATAGGGAATTGGGATGTCTAACATTTATTTTTAAAAAGGCAAAGAAAGAAAAATACTAAATAAAACACGTTAACTACCTATTACAGTCCTGTCTCAAATTAAAGAATACAAGCGTTTATACCTCAGTATTCCAAGCATTTCTACATATTTCTGTGAATTTATTAGTTTGCATCATATAACCTCGTGTTATCTGTTTCCGCGCACTTAAGAAACAGTCGCGATTTCGTACCCATATCGATAGAAAACTGTTGAAATTACGGATGACTGTCAAAGACATGTACACAACCTACTAATGGAAACAAAAAACTATCAACATAAAACTGTATTTAAAAAAAATCAGAACAAACATTTTTTAACAAATTTCTCTCGTCGGAAATAGCCGTCATATGTTTCCGTGTGTCTATTTTGATTTAGTGTTCAAAGAAAGATAACTCGAGTACACTAAATAGAAATTCTCCACAGTGGTCCGCACGATTGAAAGCTTCGTTTGGTAAAAAAAAACATCTTTGATCATCAAATTAAATATCAAAACATTTTATTTGTTTTCACATTTTTTTCAATATGTCAACTTTAACGAATTAATATGTAATTTTATAAATTCATTTAATTTTATTTCTTTAGCGATAATATAATCTGTTATCATTTTTTTATGCAGTCTTATATTGGTTTCGGTTGATGGTAAGTTATTTCTCATTTTATTCTGTTTATAGTTGATGAACATTGCAAACAGTGTCTATCGATATAAGAATGTCCCATTCCCTCTTCGGAAGTGGAAACAAATTGGCGAGGAGATGTGGCCTCATTTGTATACGACATTTTCGTATGTGTGTCAGGCTACAAAAAAGACCGGTTCATGAATGAAATATATCACTGTTTTTTTCAGGTATGGGTTCATTTTAAGCAAGCTAAAAAGTGTATTAAGCAAAACTGTATATTTATGCATGTTTTTTAATCAGTGATAAATTCTGATGTTTTCCGGACGAACTTCGGGTCATTTTTGCGTCAGTTTATATATATATAGATGGCCAAACATCTACAATATCCTTGTGTAGTGTCCAGCAGGTCATGTAGTAACTAGGTATAGCTTGATAAAATGGCTGCGCGGAAACCTATGACTAGACGGATACGATAATTTTCTATTTTCTTTCCAGCACAGTATTTTCATTTTTTTTCGTCTAGCGGTTTTCAAGTTTCAGGCTAAAAGTTGATTGTAAAGTTATGAAAAAACCACCAAAACAACTAACACTGTAATCTTGCATTATGTGTTAAGATAAGATACGTTTATTTCCGGTTCAGGGCTTATACATAAGCCTTCTATACCAGACTAAAAAAATACATACAAAGTATTATTTTGCATATTATATAAATAATTTGACAATTATATGATTGCAGCTCTGTAATTTAAAAAAAGTTCTTGGTTTTTCCAGGGGTTGTCTAGTTTCTTTTTCTTAAATTTGTTAACATTATTTGCTGAAGTAACATATTCAGGTAGTTTATTCCATGTTGATGCCGATGTTATTGAAAAAGAGTTTTTACTTAGCATAGTTGAAGAGCGTTTTGGGTATATTGTTTTTTCGTTTACTTGACGGCTGTGTCGTTGAGCGGCGTCTTCCCATAACACTACTGCATTGCAGCATTCCTGCAGTAATCAATTATTGACGCCAACACATCAGTTTTGGTTACAGACCTTGCACGCAATCGTATCGTTACATTTTGCCGCACTCGAAACTTTTCTCCGGTAATCTACAGAGCGCGTGAGAAATAAACCACGTGATTATACAATCAAACGACGTCATCATTGTTTACATCTCCCGCCATCTTTCTGAAAGATGGTTCATGACAGAATTTCGACCTGGATTTGGATCAAATCCCGAGAGAAAATGTAGCCGTATGTATCTTAGTTGTAGTTTTCCTGTAAACAAATATATTAATGCGTACATGTATGATATATTGTGTTGTAATAATAGCTTATTGGTCATGGTCGTTATCAAACTTTTGATATTCACTGCCCAGAAACGCCTACGACTAGGGAGTTTCCTGGAGTTTCCTGGAGCATTGACGATAACTTGAAACAGAAGTTTATCATAATTAATCTAGCTAGGCCTATAACTTGCTCAGCCTTGTAGCATTTATTTTAAGAAGTATCACTGATAATGCCTCTGCCATTTGACACTTAATTATTAGGCATAAAACAAAAATGTAAAGTGTTTTATTTTTCATTTTAAATGTGTTTTTCTGTGCTACCCACGCAGTTACATTCACAGGGACCTGATAATTTGTTACGGCTACATTCGGTAAAATTAATCTTGCTATTTTACAGGTTTTTTGACATCTAAATTTAAAGAATAAAGGTTATTTGACTTCTAAATTTGCAAAGTGTCAATGGTCAACTAAAAGCCCTGCATGATTAACACTGATTTACACTACAAATTACCTGACTCTTAGTGGATACCGACAAGTTCTAACTAGCCTTATTGTTTAAAAAAATACAATAGGCCTAAACTTAAGGTCACCCAAGGTACATTTCAAGAGACTTAAGGAACAGTCTCCTCAATTTTGTAATAGAATCCCAGTCAATTAAATCCTCTTGGAAGTTAGGAATCAAATCTAATTGTGACCCTTTAAAGTTTTCTACAAACTGATTAAGTGTACAAATGGCCTCAAATAGCCTTAGACAATATATATCTATATATACATGGTGTCTACACTATGATGCAAACAGGTAACATTGCCATGCATGTATTCTGTGGTCACCTGTACATGGATATGTCTAACACTAGGCCTATATATATATATTAAAGGTACTTAGTACAGTCAGATTATCTCTGATTAACAAATGATTTGTTCAGCACTCTCAGTAATAAAAACATAGTACTTCATACATATTAGAATGTTTGGCTCTTTAAAACAGATTGAATGTGCTTCCTAGCTTTAACCTTAAACATCTTTTTGCACTTTATAATTCATATTTGAAATGTGGAAGCTTTGTTGGATAAATGTTGTAACAAATTTTAGAAAATTTAAAATAATGTACTTAAGTTGCTGTAAACTAACACGGATTACTATGTGAAAGATTCTTGAATACCAGCAGTTGATTTTGGGGATTAGTTTTTTAATACTTTGCCTGTATTATAGGGTTTTATTTAATCAAGATTAATCATTTGTCAAAGGTTTTAGCACACTTTATTTTTACCATATTGTACACAATGGTGTTTCAAAATGTCAATGGCTTGTTTGTTTAAAAAGTTCACTTAAAATGTTGAAAACAGTGTGAGTCATTAAGGATATGAATTATCATAATGGGATCTGAAGATGACCAAGAAAGCTACAAGGTAGATATTATGAATTTCATGTTAAGTATTAAAAAATCTTAATACTTCCTAATGAACTGTTAGGCTATCATATCAATTAATGAAATAATGGTGTGTTTCATAACAAAATATCATCCAGATGTTGTGTCATGTTTATTATTGTTAACTTGGTGTACATAGATAATTTGTATTATGGTTTAATTAGGTGTACAAAATTATGCATGTATAATTCGTCTTGGTTATTAAAATTAAAATTTCGTTTTTCAGAGTGATTATTTAACCATATTTAACAGCAATTTAATTTTTCCATATAATATAGTGAGGATAATTAATGATCAAATATAATATATTGTCAAAATCATGCTTTATTAGGGTACGTGTTATTACATTGAAACTGAATTTTAACGTTAATTAAAGCCCAAATCAGTGAAACTTAATTCATAATTTTTGTACATAAAATAAATAAGGTTTGTATTTATTAAATTAAAACACAGTGTCAAAGACATATTACCTTAGCTAATGCAAAGACATAAAAACCTACCAATCAATATTACAAACTGCAGGTAAACATTTGAAATATATCTCCTCTATATATAACATCAGTATAAAACCTGTATTTATAAAAACCTGTACTGAGGTTGTTTGTATGATGCGTATGATGCGTTAGGCTGGAGTGGTGTTGTTTTCATTCATTTTTGTTCCTCTATTTTCAGCCATACTGTTGTTTGGTTAATTGTGTGAACCGGAGAGTAGGGTGAAGAAATGCTGTCCGAAACTGACAACAGGGACGGGGAAAAATGGGACAAGCTGAAAAAATGGGGCAGCGTTCAGGAGGAGATAATCCAGAAACTACAGGCACCCGAAAAAATGGACCAGAGCCTCGCTTTAAATCACGGTCCACAGGTAAGTCTGAAGTTAGAGGTTAATAACTAGTTTAATGTGCAGTCAGTCACCCGGGTTATACTGCATCACTGTATGCTGGCCAGTAAGGCAGTATTCCTCCCCCCCCCCCAAAATTCCTTAGCTGTTACACTAGGACATCACTCAGGAGGAGGTAACTCAACCACTACATGTCCTATTAAATATTGACCAAAGAGTCTCACCTTCAGTCTCAGTGTACAAGTAAATCTAAATATCAAATTGAACCAAAAATCTTGGAGACCCAAAATTGCCACAATTTCACTTTCGCCCTATATGCCTAAATAATGAGGGCAAGTTTATGGCAGCAAATACTATATAGTGCACTGCATTCAGTTTTTTTGGGGTGATCTTTTTGTGGGTAATAATGGGCCCCATTCCTAATTGAAAATATTTCCTATTCATGCCTAATTCCCAAAATTTGCAGTTTACTCCTGAAAATTTCCTTCACATTTGGTATACTTTCTTCCCAAAATGTGACAAAAAGTTCCAACCCCATAGTAACGAATGAAAATATAATAGTGTTTTCTTCTGGTTTGAAGAAACAAATGGGGGGGGGGGGGGGGGGGGGGGGACTGAATATGTTATAGCAGGCACCCATCCAGCCAATGACTTTATGTGTTTACTGTAACTGTAGGACAACTGCCAGCTTTATACCACATCGCTGGAAAAGCTAGATTGCCAGTAAGGCAGTATTTTCTTCGGCCTATTCCTTTAATTTGCTACACAAAAAAAAGTAAATTCGTCTGCTGTCGAATCACAGTTTCAAGGTTTAATGTTGGTGCCAGGTTGAATCAGTGGATTAAGTGGCTTACTTTACTTAAAAAAGTAATACGTCCTAGCTTCCTCCGTTTCTACAGTACGTGTTCTAACTTTGTTGATGTTTTGATTTCCAGTTGTACCATACCATGCGACATCCGGGGATTATCAAATGTATGACACATTTTCCGTCAAGCAGTGGGGACATATTTATTACGCACTATCGCTGCGGTACGACAGACCAGTTAAGTGTCTGGACTATGGACTCCAACGAAAGAGACGCATCTGTCACTCAACAAAGGTAAATCTGTCCAGAGTCAATATGGTATGTTTAGGCCAATTACATGCTTATTACTTATTATTCATATTCAACGGGTTCTTGTGATCTTTCTCATGACTTAACTCTTTCCGTACCGTTGTGTTGTACACACAACAACAGTATGTCACCCTGGTTCCTCGTTGTCGTGTACAGATGACAAAATAATAGGCCGTCTCATCCCCGTTGTCGTGTACACACGACAACAGGCTTTGGTGTAACTTGTGCTATGTTTAGCTGGTTATCGCACCCGACATTCACGTTAAACAATTAATTGTCGCTATAATCAGCACCCATCAGTTGGAAAGATTTTTTTTATAAGTGCAGAGTAGTGAGAGTACACAATTTTCATTTTGTGACTTATTGTTTTCAAATTTCCTGCAATATGTTTGCGATTGATGTCTCAAATATTCAACAATATGGTGGCAGCTTAAATCGATATGAACACTCGTAAATTCATCACCAAATATTTATTTAGATTTATGGAAGTAAATATGAATATTTTAATGTAAGTCTTAATGAAATCTTCTTGTATTTAAAAAAAAATGTGACTTCGTATTTGTAACCGTAATCAGTCTCTATTGGGAACCTACAACTCTGTTTTGAATACAAGGTTTCGTATCGATTTTTGCCGGACAGATGTCGATTTCTCTGTCATAATCAGTTGCCAGTTATTCATAATGCTGCAAAAAGGTGTGTCTATGAACAACAACATGAAACAATAAAAATATTTGTTCACGGTTACCTGTTTAATTCTTGCAGCAATTATACTTCGTCTAAAAAGTACATTAATAATCCGCCATTTTGTTATCTGTGCGGGGGCGATCGCGTCTAGTACAAATGTCAGGACATCCGGTACGGAAAGAGTTAATACTAAATAAAAGGATTTAAGCATCCTTTTTTTTTTTTTTATCAAAAACTGTTTTATTTAAGATGTGAGACGCATTTGATTACAAATGAAAACTTTAAAAAAAAAATGGAACGGGGAAATTGATTCAGGGGAAAAATAGCATTACTGTATACTGGGAAATTTTTGCCTTTTTCGCCAATCACAATGGGGGTGAAATTATCCTAACAGCGAAAAATAAGTAATCAGCATACACTATCTAGTTATTAAGGGCGATATTAACATGAATATGGATATTACTCATGAAGGGCAAATATTTTATTGGACGAAAGCCTAAAAAATGGACCCCTAAAGAAGCCGTATCTCTGAAGCAACTACTGAATGAATTCAGTAAGAACATATTAGATATCCATCAGGTTCACTTCTTCCAGTAGCCTATTTTTTGCAAATTGTAAATGAAACAAATTGTAAATGAAATTTTAATTGTCATTTTTTTCTTTTCAGATATGAAATTCACAGTGAGCTGACGTCTCTGATGTATGTCAATAAACATCGGGTAAGACAGACCATGCATTCTAAACATTTTAATGACATGGTTTAAAAAAATAAAAAAAAATAAAAACAAGGTAGAAATATTCAATTCTTTTTAATTTTTTTACTCACATTGTGTAATGGCCTGTCTATAAACATATATATATATATAAATAAGTTTATAAGTGTAAGATAGGGATGGGCAATTGGTTTAAAATCATGATTGATGATTGGTTTGTAATTGGAAATAATAAACCGTCCAATGATTGGGTGCATAATTGGTTTATTATAATTTGAAGTCACTGAATGCCTATAAAAGTGATGACACTATCATAATGTCAATAGATGCTTGTTTTGATTCAATAGTAACATCAGTCTTATGATAAAAGTCAATAAAATAAATTACTTTCAATGCAAAGATTACATGGTATTTGACATTTGAGTTCAGTTTTTATAAACTGATTATATCGATAATGGAATTTGTAATCAGTAGTTGAAATCAAAAATAGCAAACTGATCAATTATAGAAAGGTTAACATATCTATTCTATCAATTGATAATTTAATTGAGCCAAAATTCAGAACTCAAAAAAATAGGTAATTGAAAAATTGAATTTGTTAGAAATTATTTGATAGGAGTAATTTTACTCAGTGACAGGTAATGAAAAACCTATCAAACAATTTCAAACATATTCAATTTTTGTATTTACAAAATGGAACTCCAAATGAGATATTGACCCAGTAATTCATAGACACAGTTAATGATCTACTTTGATAGGTGTATCTTGGCTTTTCATCCAAAATGGAGCTGCATGTTTTCACGGACGCCAGTAGTCAATGTCAGGAGAAAGGCTTTGTTTCCTTTTCTTCAACCATCCTTAGGTAAGTATTGTTGATAACTTGGCTATTTAAGGACACATGCTATCCTTCACATAATACACTGTACCTGTATTTTGTGTTAGAATTATCTCCCTTAAGGACATATGCAATCCTGTTGATTAATATGCCTGTAATTTGTTAGAATTATCTCCCTTAAGGACATATGCAATCCTGTTCATTAATATACATGTAATTTGGGTTAGAATTATCTTCCTTGAAGATATATACTACCCTAAACGTTATACCAGTAATTCGTGTTGGAGATATCTCCCTTAAATCTGTAATATTTTTGTTGGAAAAAAGAAACATAAAAAAGTATTAAGTGACTTGATAATCACTGTTTGATTCTTTTTTGATATTATATATAATATCATATCTAAATTTATCAGTATTAAAGTACATGTATACATCCTGACCTTGTTCCAAATTGCAGCATGGCATATAACAGAGAGGCAGATGAGGTGTACATTGGAGGAATCGGCACACTGGAGCAGTGGAAGGTCACAGGATCAGAGGTCAGAGGTCACCACCACTTCATCCAACTGGAGTTTGTTAAAATAATCATTATAGAAAAATGTTTAAAATTGAAGTTAAAATATGTTGCCAGCTAGTGTTTTATTCCAATTTGTTCATTTATAAAACCTTAAAAATGTTCAATGAAATAGAAATTCTAAAAAAAGTTTTGATAAGTTTAAATGATGCCACAGTTTGTATTATGTGATCTAATGGCAGACATAATATGTTTTCAGCATGCTGCCACATTGAGTCGAGTGTTAAAGTATGAAACTGACATAGGTCCAGATGAGGTAAGTATCTAATGTACATTGTTACACTGTAATTTACTCGTGACATAGATAATAAGTTATAAATCACCTAAGAATTGTATAGCTTTTGTACCACAATCTATCTACACAAGATACCTGTAGGACATCCCTGCAAAATTAAGAACATTTTTCATTCCCTTAGGGGGTGAGAATGATAGTTCTCTTACCCTGGACAGGTGTATCCGCACTTTTACCGGTGTGAGATTTCCTTGTCTCACCCTACGGTTGAGATGGGGGGATTCCCCTATTCATAACAATGGCATAACGTCACTTCAACAAAACAATGACGTCACGTCAACAATCCATCAACATCAAGTCAACCCTGAATTTAGCATGTAACGTTATCATTACATTGTGTATATGATACATAATGGGAGAACAGGGTAAGAGAAAAAGAATCATTCACCCCCTTGTGGGTGAGATAGGGGAAGCTCAACCCTCGGGGAAAGATTCTTAAGTTGCCAAACACTCGGCAACTTAAGAATCCTCCCCCTTGGGTTGAGATTCTCCTATCTCATCCCCAAGGGGGTGAAAGATTCTATTAATCTCCACCTAAAAGGGAAGAATGTTTAGTTACTAAACATGAGGCTTGCAGAGTGTTTGGTAACCTAAGAATTTTGTCCTGAGGGTTGAGATCCTCCATCTAACCCAAATGGTGAAGCACTTGTTTTCTCGTACCCTGTTTGATCCTGCCATATACATAATGCAATGTGTGTGTTTCAGGCTGAGTGAATTGTTGACTTGACATTAGTGCATGGCTGACTAAGTGACGTCACCCTTTCTGAACTGTACGGTGGAGTAATAGAATTTCTTGCACCCTTTGGGGTTGAGATAGGGGAATCTCAACGCAAGGGGGAAGATTCTTCAGTTGCCAAACACAAGGCTTTGCCGATAGAGTGTTTGGTAATTTAAGAATCTTTCCCCGAGGGTTGAGATTCCAAATCTCACCTCAAGGGGGTGATTGATTCTTTTTCTCTTACCCTGTTCACCCATTGTGTATCATATACAAAATGTAATGTTAACGTTACTGGCTAAATTCAGGGTTGACGTGACCTTAATGCCTTATTGACGTGACTTCATTGTATTGTTTACGTGACGTCATACCATTGTTATACATCGGAGAATCCCTCCCGTCTCAACCCTAGGGTTCGATTAGGATATCTCACAGTCAAAGTGCAGATACACCTGTCCAGGATATTAAAGAGAAAAGAATATCTCGCTCCGGGAAAAGTAGATATGCATTTGTCCAGTGTAAGAGAAAGCTCTAGCCCATATACATAGATGTACATATATACACACCCAGAGACCTCCCGTTCAGAAGCAATATTTGACTGCTGTATTTGATAAATGTAATGCCATTTCAGTGTTAGAAGTGTTAAATTTGGTAAGCAGAAGATCGCAAAATATATTATTTAAAATTAGAAATAGAGTAAAAAAATTTTTTTATTTTTTTTTATTTCAGTGGGTGATTGACATCAAGGTGGACACGAGGAACACACAGTTACTGATTCTGACTTACCACAACATATTTGTCATCAACTACGAGGTTTGTACTGTGTCATATTGTGTATGAAATTTGTATTGTTGACTGTTCCAATATCAAGAACACCTTACTTTCTCCTGACATCAGAAACTCCTGCTCCATGTCTTGATATGAGAAACAAAATCCTCCAAAGAACAAAAGATTCTGCTGCTATATATATAAATATAAAAAATACCTGCTCCTTTCCAATATCAGAAACAAAAACTCTTCGAATTAGGAAAAAAATACCTGTTAATATTAAAAACACACACTCTTCCAATTATCAAAAATGTCTGCTCCCTTCCAATATCAGGAACGCAAACTTCTCTAATTCTGAAAAATAATAATGATAATAATAATATACAACATTTATGTAGTGCCCTATATAATTTGTGAAATTACTCTAAAGCGCTTCCTTCCAATATCCAAAATACACACTAAAAAAATATCAAAAATATCTGACACTTGCAAATCAAAAACACATATTCCTCTATATACCAGAAATTGTCCTGATTATGGAAACATTCTCCATGATTTCGAAAAATCTCGTTCAGGATTCTATATCAGGAAAATTAAACCTGCTGTATAAAATGACTCGGACAGGAAAGAGGCCTTCTTTCAGTGAAGCTTAACAGCATCCCAGTGGACAATGTGTTGATACATTTTGAATTGGATATAATTGTGGATAAGATGTTGATGTATCTCTAACAGATCTAACCATTTGTCATACTGCAAAGAAAAATGTCGCACGGTGATTGGTCGAATTGCCAAGGTACCTGAAGCTATGTTAGTATCCTTGCCAGGGTACATAAGAGCACGCGCGCCTGTTGTAAGGGAGATAACTCGAAGATTCGAATCGAACACACCTGAGAACGTTCGTCTGCTAATGTCAACAATCAACAATATCAAAAATCAATCGTTACGAGTTAATAAGGAACTGAGTTGTTGTTTAATGTTGTTTCAAAACCATATTGTTGACTTATTACATTCAAAAATTTATTAAATTGTTGAAATAATACCAAAAAAATAATCTGTTTTCCCGTCTACTACCTCCCTACACAGTATCTGTTTTCAATGGTTTTGCAGTATGACAAACTCGTTATACAGGTCTTTGGCAGGGTACATGGTCTCATGTTCGCTGTCAGGACCTTATGTACCCTTCGCCTTCAGCTCAGGGTACATAAGGTCCTGACAGCGAACATGAGACCATGTACCTTGCCAAAGACCTGTATAACTAATAATGACTGTCTATTTCTACGGTATTCAATTTTCATGTTTTAGGATTTCTTTTGGTGAAATTTGATTTTTGTGTTATAGACGCTGAAACAAACTCACCACTTACAGAATAGACACGAGGGATCACTGAAATGGTAAGTATGATTTATACAGCAAAATGAATATTGGTGAAAAGTTAAGTTAACTTGTAGAGTAAAATGTTTTCGGGACAAGATCCAGTTAGGTATCTTAGTAAGTTATTAATTATTTAGGGGATAGTACATTGTTTTGAATGGCTATACTGGCGATTAGAACATGAAAATTTGGTTTGAACTTGAGATCGATAGGATACGCCAGTATAGACACGAAAAACAACGTACTATCCCTGTTCTAACACACCTTAACAAATATACTACCCTAATATGTTTAGAAACATTGTATTTCCTTGCTACAAGTATGTAGTAAAGTACTCTGTGACCTGTGCTGGTGACGTGTCATTCTGCAGCGGACTGACAAATCAGAAAGAAGTTTTTAAAAGTCAGTCATTTGACCCCGCCCATACTGGCGAGCACTCAATCTGTATGTTGACAAGGCGGATTATTTGGATTGTTTGTGAACGTCCTGTTACCAAAGTTTATCCGTGCGTTAATCTGTGCTTATCGACAAAACTGGTGACTATTTGTTAAGATTTGTGAAGAGTTTTGTGCAAAATCAGTATGACACATGTGAAATGTTTCATTTGATTTCGGATCTAACTAGATGCCTTGCCTTGGATTGAACAAGGAACATTTGTTTTTTACTTTTTACTTTATTCAACAAATACATTTCATCGGTCCTTTCTGTTATGTTGCCTGCTAGCCTTATCAGCGGAATTTTGCTAAGAAGTGAGCTGAAGTCACATTTTGTTTTGGTTAGAAACAGGGCGTGGCTTAAGTGCGATGGGAGGAGCTTAATATGATTGATCATAATTCTATCGCAGATTAGAACATGGTCCGTATCCAATCAAAACACGTGTAGCAAAGGAATCATGTTATAAGTGTTATAGCCTTACAAAGCTTAACTAACCACTCACCTTTATTCCCAACATAAGTTGCTGGATTATAAAACAATTGTTTTAGTGGGAGACTTCTTATTAATGGAAAAACTTATATTTATCTGTCTCCAAGAACAGTACTGGGTACATGGATAGTAGGAGGCACGGTAGTCTAGTGGTAGGACGCCGGGCTCGTGACGGAAGGGTTGCATGTTCGAGTCACGGCACGGCATTGTGTTGTACCTTTTAGCAGGATACTCTACGCCGCTTGTTCCAGTCTACTCAGCTGCAAACGAGTTCGTGGTTGGGCAGTGCTAGAATTGTTGAATGCTAGCTGTTAGTGCCAAAATGGCAGATCCGGCTGTATGCTCCCCAGGGAGTTGAGAAAGATATTGGCTGGTTGCAAAGGCCCTACAACCACGGATAATAATTTGTGAACCAGTTTAAGACGACCTATGAACTAGGTTGTGATAAAGCGGTATATAAGAACCTCAAATTGTTATTATTATTATTAATTATAGTGGGACAAGGAGGTTAGTGGGTAAATGAATGAAGGTTAACAATACTGTTACTGATTTGAATGAAGAAAATGTGAGATGTACGTGTTAGTGGTGTTCACACTGTATTTGGGTATTCAGTCTAATAATAAACCTTGATCATTGGTTTACTACTTCAGATTACAAACCAATTCTGATTTTAAACTAATTGACCATCACTAATGAAAATATGTTCTATGTGTTTGTGGGCGCTGTGAAATATATTGAATTGTTTTTGAGTTACTATTTCACTTTTTACTTCAGTTGTTCGTTCTAACTATTTCACTTTTTACTTCGATCTAGTTGTTCGTTCTAACTATTTCACTTTTTACTTCAGTTGTTTGTTCTAACTATTTCACTTTTTACTTCAGTTGTTCGTTCTACAAACAGAGAGAGTATTTCATCACGGGTGGAGGAGATGGTGCAGTAAAGGTGAGTTATCTCCCTTCTCTAGGAAAGCTTAAATCATGCAGATGAGTTGAATTTAATAAAGATTAGAATTAAGAATAAAGAACCTTCTTTAAGTGAAAAGTTTGTTCCAACTGACAAAATCTTTGTTTCTTTCCTAAAAAATATGATAACCGAGATAATTCAAACATTTTCTATGTCCAGATTATGAATATAATTTGAAAGAAACTATAAAATCAGTTTTTGTATTACTTTAACAAGATAATGTTTTAGGAATTTGTGGGACCTGAATTACTTGATGGACAGAAGGTGCATGGCATAATAACAGCATTTATACATTGTTATTTAGAGATTTCTATTATAAATTATTTCAAACAAAGTGTTTAAGTTTTACAAACAAGTGTCCACTCAAAGACAATATTTATGCCCCTGACATTTTAGGATTATAATTTGTGTTGCCCATTTTTGTCCCGTCCTGTTTCATCCCATTCTGTCCCACCCTGATTCATTGTTATTACTCTGCCAACTTCAATTCTCAAAGGATTTTCATCAAAGTCAATACAAAGGTCAAGTATGAGAATACTTTTGGAGGAGGTTGTATTTCAGGTTTTCAAGGTCAACTACCAAGGTCACTATTGCTATTGTACAGGTCAACCAAACGGCCAATTGGGCATTCATGTCTAACAGACTTTTTTTTAGCTTTTCCTGTAAATTGATTGAAATGCAAAAGGTTTGATATGATTGGAAAAGTAGAAGAAATACATGACTGCACAGCTGTATAATTAATTGCTGGATTCCTGCCTATGTTCAATTACCAACAGCCAACGCCAACCCCCCCCACCACCACCACCACAAGCCTGGATTTTGTATTGCCAATATGTACTTGAATGTACTTGAGGAACTAGAAACAGGCTATATTATATTTCAGGATCCCTGTCCCACTGCACTGTTGTGTCTGTATATACAGTAACCTCCCTTTAAGGAACCCTGGCTCACTACACTGTGGTCTTTCCTATATACAGTAACCTCCCTTTAAGGAACCCTGTCCCACTACACTGTGGTCTTTCCTATATATACAGTAACCTCCCTTTAAGGAACCCTGTCCCACTACACTGTGATCTTTCCTATATACAGTAACCTCCCTTTAAGGAACCCTGTCCCACTACACTGTGGTCTTTCCTATATACAGTAACCTCTCTTTAAGGAACCCTGTCCCACTACACTGTGGTCTTTCCTATATACAGTAACCACCCTTTAAGGAACCCTGTCCCACAGCACTGTTGTGTCTGTATATACAGTAACCTCCCTTTAAGGAACCCTGTCCCACTACACTGTGGTCTTTCCTATATACAGTAACCTCCTCGTAACGTCTGTTTGGATATAACTGTAGCGCAGTTAGGCTAGTAAACTTCAGATGACATTAGTAGCTCAATCAGTTATATTCAGAACATTGTAGTCGATTATATTTTTATTTCATTTCATCTTTATTATTTCTCATAAAAGTCCCACAAGGTTTTCAGAAATGATATATCAAAGCTAAATTGTATAGTCATGCCCGTAAACAGATTCCATCACTTATTCATTCTTTTGGCAGTTGTACGATGATCCTTAAGAAATACTTGATGTGGTAATAGTTCAAATTTTAATATGTTTTATTTGTAGGTGTGGAATGCTGTTGTGTTTACACAGGTGCATGCCTTTTATGGTCACAATGCTGCCGTCACAGGTAGGTCATACTTCACTGAGTATCTTTTTCCTCTGTATTTGTTTGTTTTTAGTACAGCAATCAAACTGTAATCAAAAGTTTGTGAAGAACCTGTTTTTTTACTACAATTTATATCTGTTTGTGATTTCAATGATGGCTTATTTTGTGTCCTTTATTCTTTGGGACTGGATTTTAAATTGCTGTTCTATTTTGGTTTTTGTAATCATTATAAAAATATTCATTTCATCAACTTGATTGTAGATCTAGCTGTCCATAAGAGGGAACCCCTATTGTTTTCCTGTTCATTAGACGGAAGTGTTCAGATTTGGCGGATGGACAACTTTTCTAATGTAAGTACGATTTAGTGTTGGATTAACTCTACTTATGTAACAATATTATTTTTTTTTTTTTATGTTTTGAATGAAAACAAGACTTTGGCCATTTTGTTTATTGTGTTTGACGAGTTGCAAAACTGACACACAACAATCTAATGTTGTATTTAGGTGAGCTATTTTGATGAGCTAATAACAAAAGGTCCAGCAGATGTTATTTATAAAATCATATCAACCAGTCATTTTACATGGAAAATATTCCCTGCTACCATATCAAGGTTCTTCAAATGTTTTAGAAGGAAATAATATTATTGAGGTCTTAATACATAACATGTCATTCAATTTAGCATTAAATTTTTGGAGAATTTTATTCCCAATCTGTAATACAGATATTGACGTATAACTGTGTGAGTAGCTTATTTGGTCTTCTCTCAATTCACTGAGAGGCAAGAAAGAAAGCATCAGTCTACTAAATACATTTTATATCTTAGATGAAAGGGTTTCATTTGTAAGTCTAATGATTTTCTGGAGTCTAAAGAGTCGAGCTACAAAGTCTCTTGGTCTCTCAGGGTCAGGCTATTCAATCTCAAGCTACGAAGTCTCTTGGTCTCTAAGGGTCAGGCTAATTCAATCTCAAGCTATGAAGTCTCTTGGTCTCTCAGGGTCAGGCTATTTTCAGTCTCAAGCTTCTCTGTGACATCTCAGTCTAGCTAGCTTCCTAGAAATAAAAAAAACTTCTTTTTAAATGCATGCAGAGTAAGAAGCACCTGATATGCCAATAATTGGATAATTACTAACGCTTTTTGTTGTAACTCAAAAGAAATAAAGAAGGTAAATTTGTGTAAAAATATTTGCTCTCCTAAATAGCTTCTAGTCTTCCTCATTTTTTATAGTTTATGCGGTTTGACTTGTCAGAGAAAATATATCACCTGAAGCTTCTCTCAGACGAACAGTTCTGCTGTCAGACGGAGATGGAGATAAAAGTTTTTGGTCTAAATCAGGTATGTTCACTCTTAGGAGTTATCCCCCTTCTGTTTACCTGGTAGAATTGTGTATGTCACAATAATTCAAGATCCCCTGATTGATAAACTGAGTTTCAGAATGGTTGTCTAAACCAACAAGTTCTCCTTTAATGTAAAGTCAAATACATATGCAAGACCACACACTTGTGTTTTTCTAACGAATCAGAAAACACAAGTTTATTGTGTGGACGAATATATATTCAAGAGTTCTGGCTAGTAGGTAAATACAACATTCCGTATTGCACATGTGCAATATAGAACGTTTTTTTCATGGTCTGAAAATTGCTTGTATTACTATAACAGGATTCAACAGGTATGTGATAAAAAGTATTATTTACACTCCTCTTGTACAGTCCTTTGATAAACTACTCACCAAAAGTGAGGTAAAAGCTTTGACAGCTAATTTTGGAAAGGCCCCCTGAGAAGGAATTGGTAAAATATCAGCGGCATTTGGAAAAATTGGATAGTTTCATAAGTGTTCCCACATGTACAGGTCTGGGAAAATATCAGAAGTTTGGAAAAAATTAAACCTGCAATGTGATAAGCAACAAATTCCCTCTAGCTGTTTCTTTCAGTAAATTGTATAGTAATAAATAAACACATCGTTTCCGTGTTTTTGTTTATGCCCCTTCGTGGATGGTAATACTTTGAACGTTGCGACATAAAACGACTGGAAACTTGTATAAACATGCATTTTTATCCAATTGGGAAAATATAAAGACTGAAATTGGGAAAATGCAGGGTCATTTTCAATTGAGAATGGGTCCCTGTGCTGGACCCTATAAACACCTGGCAAAATCCCTGTCTTTAGTCCAATAACAGCCAGTATAGTGAACTGTACGTAAACCAGGAAATAGTCACTGCAGCTTAACCCTTTCACCCCTATGTAACTTTAGTAAACTCTACCATGCAATGATCTGGATGAGTCCATTATGGTCTACAGTGGTGAAAGGGTTAATGTTTGCCTTTTTTAGGGAGTATTTGTAAACAACATGATGTATATAGTAATTAAATGTGAAGGGTGAAATAGAAACTGGACAAATATGGATTTTACCAGGGAAGGGCAAAGTTGAATATATTTTGAACAGACCGGTGTTGCATACATCAAAAAGTTAAATAGATATATTCAATAAATATTCTTGTACCTATACATTATAATAGATTTGGTCAGATACGGGAATAGTACCAATAATTAAGTCCTCTTTAGATACCAGACTCTTGTAGGCTGTTTTTGAGAAATTTGAAAATACATATTGATGCCTGGTTTCAGTTTTATAACCTGTTTGCCCCGGTGGAGTCGACGGTAGAGAACCTTTGTCTGTGTCCTGGGAAACGTAGTAATGGATTGGCCAACCGGATTATAGCTTCCACTGAGGTACACAGTCAAAGGATTATTTGGTTTAGTACAATGGAACATTAACTGTTCAGTTGTCTCCCTTGGTACACACCTAATATTTACTCTTTTTATCTTTTTTCTTGGTTTTTTCCCCCTCCATAATTTTAAAGTGCTGATTGACCATTTTCCACTATGAACTTATGATGTTTATGACTTTTTCTATTAACTCAAATTAAAATCTTTAAACGCACAGATGTGCATGTCTATAATTTATCTGGTAAATTTATCCAAGAAAAGCATTAAATGAATCCTCATTTCTTATTTGTAAGCAAACTGTAAATGCTCATGAATGCTTTGGTTTTTTGATGTACATTTAATAAAATTGAAAGATAATTAATAGATCAAACATTCTGTATTTGAATTTGACTTTTAAATATGAACTGCTTTGTTATCTGTTCAACTTCTGACATTTTGCTTGTTTCACAGGATGGCTCAGTCCGCCTATTCTCACCTGTCACCGGAGTGGCCTTGACCTTAATTTATCCCATGCCATCCTTCCAGGTATGTGACCTTGAACTTCTGGCCTTTTGTAATTGGGTACATTTTTTGAAAATGTTCCCTTTTCTGATGATATGTTGGAAAAGTATTATTATTTTGATTTATAAAAAAAAAATGTGTCACTTCAAAAGTGTTTGACTTTTCTCCTCAGATTCTGACAAGTTTTGCATACAACAGAGAAAAAGATAGACTGCACACTGTTTTAGAAAATGGAGAAGGTAAGATAAAAAAAATTGATGTCTGCTCTTAATTGTGCAATAGAAATGGCCCAGATACATATAGACATCAATTAACTGTTTTTGTCCTGTTTTTGTAAAAAAAACACCAAAAAAACGAAGGAATCCAACTTCATTTCCAAGTCTTTCCTGGTTTACTCCTCCTACCAAAATTTAGCTAAGAAATGCAAAATTTGATAAAATTTCAATCCTTTAAAAAGGGAGGGTATTTTAAATGAACAAATGTTTCTTATGCATGTGTAGACCCTGGCTACTAATAAATAGTGACAACCTATGTAAAAATAAAATGTAGACATTAAAACATGTTTTAATAGAAAAAATATGAAAATTTGATTATGAGACGATGACGAATAATAAATTATTCATGCAAATACTTATGAACTTCAATAACTGTTAGTGACCAAAGGTTCATTGGTCGTAATACAAATATTCCATGTTGTATTTCCCGCTACTCATACAAAATGCTAAAAATTGCAAAAATATGATACATTTTAGCTTTATAAAAGAGAAAATATTTTAAAAGAATAAATTTCACAGTGCAAGTGTAGACCCAGATGGCTAATAAGCAAGTGTTTACCGGTGATATGATAAAGACAGTTCTTATACGCCCCTCGAATGACGGGACGTATTATGTTTTCATGCATAACCAAAAGGCCCAGGGTACTGATATTAGGCCTGTAGCATGCTGGGATGAAGGGCCACCTAGTTTGTTCAAACGAATGACCTTGACCCACTTTCAAGGTCACTGGGTTCAGATGTCGTAAAATCCTCAAACAACTTCTTCTCAATAACCAAAAGGCCAAGGGTACTGATATGGGGCCTGTAGCACGCTGGGATCAAGGGCTTCCAAGTTTGTTCAAATGAATGACCTTGACATACTTTCAAGGTCAAAGGGGTCAAATGTCGTAAAATCCTCAAACAACTTCTTCTCAATAACCAAAAGGCCAAGGGTACTGATATTGGGCCTGTAGCATGCTGGGATCAAGGGCTTCCAATTTTGTTCAAATGAATGACCTTGACATACTTTCAAGGTCACAGGGGTCAAATATGTTAAAAATCTTCAAACAACTTCTTCTCAATAACCAAAAGGCCCAGGGTACTGATATTGGGCCTGTAGCATGCTGGGATGCGGACTACCAAGTTAGTTCATATGAATGACCTTGACCAACTTTCAAGGTCACAGGGGTCAAATGTCGTTAAATCTTCAAACAACTTCTTCTCAATAACCGAAAGGCCCAGGGTACTGATATTGGGCCTGTAGCATGCTGGGATGAAGGACCACCAAGTTAGTTCAAATGAATGACCTTGATCCACTTTCAACCTAATGTCCTTGTTCGATATTCAAGGTCACAGGCGTCATATGTTTAAATCTTTTAATAGGTTCTTATGAATCAAACACTGATATTCTGTCTGTAGCTGTATTTTAGTCCACTTTTAAGATTACAAGTAGTGTGAGATTAATACCACGTGAGCGATGCAGGCCCATTGGGCCTCTTGTTTATGCAGTTATGGCCCTTTGTAGAATTAACGCTTATCTCTCCAAAATTTATGCACTTATGGCCCTTTGTGGAAAACTGCTCATTCGACATCTGACAGGCGTATCATGTACCGCTTCTGGGAACTCCTGTTAACTTGTATAAATAAGAAAGGCAAAATCTGACATTGAGACTAAAAATATTCTCATACAGTACTACTATATTTTTGTAGTAGGACGAGGAATAGTGATAAAGATAGTGCCGTCGCTAGGGCTCGAACCCGCGATCCTTGGCTCTCCAGCCCGATGCTCTACCGCTGAGCTGAAGCAAATTCCCTACAGCTGAAGCTTGTAAGGCAACCTAATCAATGCACGTCTTTTACATTTTAGTGATCGTGTTTAACTGTCGTACCAACCCGTGTAAGGCGGTGGAGGTGTGGCAGTCTGGGTACGTCGACGAGAGAATCACACAGATGTTACAGGTGGAGTTGGTGAGTGCTATGTTAGGGGCTGTAAACTTTGGAGGGAGGGATTGGGTTGTCCATTCATCATTGAAGATTTTACCCCTCCATCATCATATGGCGCTGTTTTCAAAACACCTGTCCGTCCATCGTCCATTCTTAAACAGTTCTTGTTATTAATATTACTGAAGAAGTACTGAAGATATCTTTCTTAAATTCAGATGAAGGTTCCCCTTGGTCCCTAGCTGTGCATGTTTCATTTTGAGACTTGTATGAAAAACAAGGAGGCTGTCAGGCAGCCATCTTTGACTTTGAAAGATCAAGTTTGTTATTGTAATATCTCGAGAGTACTTCACAGATCTTTCTCAAATTTTGCATGTAGGTTTGTCCCGGTCCATAGCTGTGCATGTTTCATTATGAGACTGATTGAAGAAAAACAAGATGTCCAGTTAGACATCTTAGATTTCTGCAGCTGAAGTTTGTCATCACTATTTCTCAAAAAGAATACTGTGACCTCGATTTGAAGGAACATCATCAAACTCAGCTTTATATAATTTTGATTAAAAGTTACCACTAGATGTATTTACTGTTGACAAGACTAAGAATCCAACAGAGAAGAGAAAAGAAAAGAAATTAAGAGAACAGAACAAACTTAGTACATAGTGTAACAGGAAAGATAATAGTGTGCTTCCACCAGGGATCGAACCCTCGATCTCCAGGTTCCTAGTCGGAAGCTCTACCACTGAGCTAAAGGGAAATTCGCTCTAGCTCGAAGCTAGAAGGCGACCTCAATCCTATGTACAATTGAACCCTGTCACACATAGAACTAATGAAGATTATGATGGTGGGCAACAAGATCCCTCAGTGATTTCTTGTTAAGTGATATTTAACTAGAGAACCAACATTCTCAGGGTTAGTTTTTTTGCCCATTCAATGTAATAGTAATGTTAAAAAAGAACACAATCACTTAAATTTCTGAATACCTTCCTATGTGACATCGCATTTAATACTAGTCAGCACTGTCAAACAACACCACAACTTAATAGGGGCATATATAAGCAAGGCATCATAGCAAACTACTGGCATAATAGCAGGGCACCTTAACAAGTTAAAGGCACAGAAGGAAAGCACCATAACTATTCAATGGGCATTTACATAAGAGCAATGCTTCATAGCAAACTAATGTTATCAAGGAATAGCAAGGGAATTTATGGTAAACAAAATTCCCATTATAGCGAGGCATCATTCTGTAGCAAACAATTATGGACATAATAGCAAGTCATCCTAACAAACTAGGGGCACAGTAGGAAGGCACCACATCTAATGAGGGGCATTTACACAAGGGCAATCCTCGATAGCAAACTAGGGTTATCAGAAATAGACACTTTAGGCAAACAAGAGACATTATAGCAAGGAATCATAAATTACATATAAGATTAGGGGTATGATAACATTAATTAAGGGTCATTGAAGCAAAGCATCATAACAAAGTAGGGGTATAACAATTGTAAAACAAGTTTTGTCAACTTATATGAATCACTCTTGTCTTAATGTGGGAGGAAACTGGAGTACCCAGAGAAAACCCACGGAGTTGGGTAGGTGACCCAATGCCTTTTCATATCTGATCAGAGAATCAAATCCCTGCTGTTTTGGTGAAAGACGAGTTCATCAACCACTGTGCCATCCGGATACACAGTTACAGGGTATTATAACACAGACATGGCATAATAGCAAAGTTAAGTGGCAGCATATAGCAAACTAGCATACAGTACAACATAATGAACAACATCCCACTATCTTACAACATAATGAACAATATCCCACTATCTGTAAGATCAGAACCTAAGACTTTGCAGTCAAGGCTGATGTACTTGATCGACTTCTCAAGCTTCTGGCGCAACAAAATATAATTCCTCAAACCAACCCTGTCTACTGTGTCATGTTCCTGCTTATCTTTCTTTTACAGAGTTACACCGGTCAGAACGGTCTGCAAATGACGGACATCGTCATATTCGGTGGGCAGGTGAATGGTCAGGTCAGTACAGTCTAATGAAAACGCCTTCAATACTGAGGTATAAACGTTGTCAGCCACTTAAGATGGCACAGCTGACTGGGGCTGTTTTTTTTATACTTAATTGGTTTCTATCAAAGGTTCTTCTTACACAGGACTGCAAAGAAAAGGACAATATTTAAAGTCTGGTTTACACAGGTTTCTTGTATACAGGTATACAGTTTCTACAGAGTTCTTGGTTATAGAGGTTTCTTGATTAAGCACATTCATTTTAAAACTAACAAATATTGTGATTGTCATTATTATAAACTTTCACAAGATCGTTGGAAAAATTGAAACAGCCCAAAAGATTTAAATAGAATATCATGTTCAACCTAAAATATGACTTCTAATTGTGCAGGTGTCGCTATTGGATGCAACAGTTTGTGAAATGGTGCGCAGTGTGCAAACGCACAGAGGTATGATTACATGTATGGAGAGCGTCACAGAGATAGACCCCACAGGATATCAGATGTCAGAGACCAACAAAACTATCGTCACAGGTGGAAATGATAATCTTGTGAAGCTTTGGAAAATTAAGGTATCTTCAGGCAGAAGAAGCGACTACATCACGCTAGAACCTATCCTAGAGGTAATTATCTCCCCTTTCTTGTACCGATTTACACGATCACCTGAAATAACTTCAGACTTCCTGTTTAGTTTAATCAGAAGTTCTCTTATGTTTTTCTTACTTACAACACATTGAAAAAAAACATCATCTTGACCTTGATCAGATGCATGGTTTCTGTTAAATTTGGCAAAAAATATTGTAGTCAAATTTACGTAATTGCGTCTAACATCATTGATTGTCTACATACACAGAAGTCATTACTATCTAACTATTTGTAACAAACAATGGGGATCCTATTGTCAGAGAACGAGATTTTAGAATAAACTATAAAGCCATCTGAATAAAGCTAGGATTAATTGTCCTTCCACCGATGTGCACAAAAATGAATGCCTGATCAGATAAGGCAGTGGCTATGTAAAGCAATAGCTATATATGGTGTAACGAATGGTAAAAGTTGTGGTCCTGTTTTCCGAAAACGTCATAAGCTCAGATCGTCATATAACATTTTTAAGATGTTTGATTACATCTTTCCTAAAATTTCTTTATTGTTGTTTGTAAATTTGTTTTAAATTTTTCAGATTCCCTGTGAAAGTGTTCCTGATCATATCAGCATGTACGAAAACACCCTGAGTGTGGCTATCATCACAAGTAACCACAAAGGGTTAGCATTATATAGTGTTCCTGATCATATCAGCATGTACGAAACCACCCTGAGTGTAGCTATCATCACAAGTAACCACAAAGGGTTAGGATTACATAGTGTTCCTGATCATATCAGCATGTACGAAACCACCCTGAGTGTAGCTATCATCACAAGTAACAACACAGGGGTAGTATTACATAGTGTTCCTGATCATATCAGTACCCTGAGTGTAGCTATCATCACAAATTACCACAAAGGGTTAGTATTCTATAGTGTTCCTGATCATATCAGCATGTACGAAAACTCCCTGAGTGTAGCTATCATCACAAGTAACCACAAAGGGTTAGGATTACATAGTGTTCCTGATCATATCAGCATGTACGAAAATACCCTGAGTGTAGCTATCATCGCAAGTAACCACAAAGGGTTAGTATTACATAGTGTTCCTGATCATAGCAGCATGTACGAAAACACCCTGAGTGTAGCTATCATCACAAGTAACCACAAAGGGTTACTATTATATAGTGTTCCTGATCATATCAGCATGTACGAAACCACCCTGAGTGTAGCTATCATCACAAGTAACCACAAAGGGTTAGGATTACATAGTGTTCCTGATCATATCAGCATGTACGAAACCACCCTGAGTGTAGCTATCATCACAAGTAACCACAAAGGGTTAGCATTATATAGTGTTCCTGATCATATCAGCATGTACGAAAATACCCTGAGTGTAGCTATCATCACATGTAACCACAAAGGGTTAGTATTACATAGTGTTCCTGATCATATCAGCGTGTACGAAAACACCCTGAGTGTAGCTATCATCACATGTAACCACAAAGGGTTAGCATTACATAGTGTTCCTGATCATATCAGCATGTACGAAACCACCCTGAGTGTAGCTATCATCACAAGTAACAACACAGGGGTAGTATTACATAGTGTTCCTGATCATATCAGTATGTACGAAAATACCCTGAGTGTAGCTATCATCGCAAGTAACCACAAAGGGTTAGTATTACATAGTGGTCCTGATCATATCAGCAGGTACGAAAACACCCTGAGTGTAGCTATCATCACAAGTAACCACAAAGGGTTAGTATTACCTCAAATAAACAGCAATATACATGATTGTATAGTTGTAACTCCTGCTCCTTCTGTCTGTCAGAAGCTTCATTATAAATAAGCTTTAAATATCAGCCTTTTAGCCTCTGACACCTCCGCCATATCTATAATGTCCATGGCAGTGTTCCGAAAATAGCCAATGGTTAATTATTCCAAAATGTTCCTTAAATCGCCAATTATGGAACAGCCCTTATTACAAAAAGCACAGTATTCCCATCATCACAAAACTATTTCTACTGTATCTTATGTGTCCAAAACATTTATATACACTGTAAAACGTTGTTTGCCTCAAATTAACCAGAGCTCCCAGGGCAAATTTTCTTCGTATGCTGGTGTCGTTGTGTTTTGCTCTCAATCGTTTTATTTTAGTAAGAGACAATTGTTTTGTTTTAGTTTAATTGGAGACTCATTCGTTAGTTAAAACGTTCCACAAGTGTTAGTTCCTTAGATAAGTACTATTAATATTGAAGAAGTATATTGTTAAATGTGAGTTAAGTCTTGACTCCTTACAGAAAGCTAGTGATGTACCGAGTGGAAGGTAGTGACACCGATACACCCCAGTATACACAGCTGGAACATGCCGAGGATGACGACCATGATAAAAAGGTCTGTTTTGAACAGCTCTTCAGAACAATATTGATCAAAAGTATAAACTTATTAGTAAATAGTACTATTATGATAATGATGTCTCTAAGTACGGTGCCCTACATTTGGCAATAAGCCCATGCCATATGTTTTGAATGTCAAGGAATGTGAATTTTCTCTCTAATGTTGAAATTTTGAAATAAAAAAAAAGTTTTTTTTTTTTTTAAAAAGAGTATAATATGTTGTCTTTTCACATTTTTACAGATCACAGCCCTAGACAAATGTCCTCTACTTGGTCTGTTTGCTTCCTGTTCAGAAGATGCCTTCATCAAGGTACATATGTATGTTGTGAGAATTATTTCCTCACTGTTTTACACAGTATCTTATCCTTAATAGACCATAATGGACTCATCCAAATCAATGCATGGTAGAGTTTACTAAAGTTACATAGGGTTGAAAGGGTTAATGTTATACAGGTTTTATTAACATTGTTAAGTTGCGACCTTGAAAAACATGCTGACTGAAACACTACAAACTTGTTGCCTAGCCAGTAGGCAATAGTTAAGACTTGATAATAAAGTATACGTAAAGGTGATAAGCACCAGTTAATTATCACAAACTTTCTTGCAGGAATGATGAAAAATGCAAAAGTTTTGATTTGATAAGTGAAATGTTATACATTACTTAACTCATTCACCCCTGTAGACACATTTAAACTGTTCCAACTCAAAGGTTTTTATAGTTCATTATGAATTTTAAGGGGTAAATGAGTTAATGTGTAGTCAAACCTGTGACCACCTTCATTTATAGACAACCCAATTGTTAAGGATCCCCGTCTCTGTAGAGATACGACCCAATGGTTGAGGTTTCCTGTCTCTGTAGAGATACGACCCAATGGTTAAGGATCCCTGTCTCTGTAGAGATACGACCCAATGGTTAAGGATCCCTGTCTCTGTAGAGATACGACCCGATGGTTAAGGTTCCCTGTCCCTGTAGAGATACGACCCAATGGTTAAGGATCCCTGTCCCTGTAGAGGTATGACCCAATGGTTAAGGATCCCTGTGTCTGTAGAGATAAGACCCAATGGTTAAAGATCCCTGACTCTGTAGAGATACGACCCAATGGTTAAGGATCCCTGTCTCTGTAGAGATAAGACCCAATGGTTAAAGATCCCTGCCTCTGTAGAGATACGACCCAATGGTTAAGGATCCCTCTCTCTGTAGAGATACGACCCGATGGTTAAGGTTCCCTGCCCCTGTAGAGATACGACCCAATGGTTAAGGATCCCTCTCTCTGTAGAGATACGACCCGATGGTTAAGGTTCCCTGCCCCTGTAGAGATACGACCCAATGGTTAAGGATCCCTGACTCTGTAGAGATACAACCAAATGGTTAAGGATCCCTGTCTCTGTAGAGATCCCTGTCCCTGTAGAGATACGACCCAATGGTTAAGGATCCCTGACTCTGTAGAGATACGACCCGATGGTAAAGGATCCCTGTCTCTAGAGATACGACCAAATGGTTAAGGATCCCTGTCTTCGTGGAGAAACGACCCAATGGTTAAGGATCCCTGTCCATGTAGAGATACGACTCAATGGTTAAGGATCCCGGTCTCTAGAAATACGACCCGATGGTTAAGGATCCCTGTCTCTAGAGATACGACCAAATGGTTAAGGATCCCTGGCTTCGTAGAGAAACGACCCAATGGTTAAGGATCCCTGTCCATGTAGAGATACGACTCAATGGTTAAGGATCCCTGTCCCTGTAGAGGTATGACCCAATGGTTAAGGAAAGGATCCCTGTCAGAGATACGACCCGATCGTTAAGGATCCCTGTCTCTGTCGAGATACGACCCAATGGTTAAGGATCCCTTTCTCTGTAGAGATACGACCAAATGGTTAAGGATCCCTGTCCCTGAAGAGATACGACNCTAGACCCAATGGTTAAGGATCCCTGTCTCTGTAGAGATATGAACCGATGGTTAAGGATCCCTGTCTCTGTAGAGATACGACCCGATGGTTAAGGATCCCTGTCTCTAGAGATACGACCAAATGGTTAAGGATCCCTGTCTCTGTAGATATACGACCCGATGGTTAAGGTTCCCTGTCCCTGTAGAGATACAACCCAATGGTTAAGGATCCCTGTCCCTGTAGTGTAGAGGTATGACCCAATGGTTAAGGATCCCTGTCAGAGGTATGACCAAATGGTTAAGGATCCCTGTCTCTGTAGATATACGACCCGATGGTTAAGGTTCCCTGTCCCTGTAGAGATACAACCCAATGGTTAAGGATCCCTGTCCCTATAGAGATACGACCCAATGGTTAAGGATCCCTGTCTCTGTAGAGATACGAACCGATGGTTAAGGATCTCTGTCCCTGTAGAGATACGACCCGATGGTTAAGGATCCCTGTCTCTAGAGATATGACCAAATGGTTAAGGATCCCTGTCTCCGTAGAGGTATGACCCAATGGTTAAGGATCACTGTCTCTGTAGAGATACAACCCAATGGTTAAGGATCCCTGTCCCTGTAGAGGTATGACCCAATGGTTAAGGATCCCTGTCTCTGTAGAGATATGACCCAATGGTTAAGGATCTCTGTCCCTGTAGAGATACGACCCGATGGTTAAGGATCCCTGTCTCTAGAGATACGACCAAATGGTTAAGGATCCCTGTCTCCGTAGAGAAACGACCCAATGGTTAAGGATCCCTGTCCCTGTAGAGATACGACTCAATGGTTAAGGATCCCTGTCTCTAGAAATACGACCCGATTGGTTAAGGATCCCTGTCTCTAGAGATACGACCAAATGGTTAAGGATCCCTGTCTCTGTAGAGATACGACCCGATAGTTAAGGTTCCCTGTCCCTGTAGAGATACGACCCAATGGTTAAGGATCCCTGTCCCTGTAGAGATACGACCCAATGGTGCATATCACTTTTGGGTCAAGGTCATATTTAGGTCGAAAGTCTAATTCATTGTCCATGCCATAATTTCTGACTGAATGAAGGCTGCTCTACGAAATTTTAAAAATAATTGTAGGATGGCAAGGTTGTGTGTCACAAACCACTTTGAGGTCTTTCCACCCAAGGTCAATGTCTCATGGTAAATCCACAAAAAATGCATTTATACAAATAGAATAAATACTAGATATGTATGTAAAATGGCTTGTTTTAGATCTGGAACCGCCACAATCAGCTGATCAGGGAGATGGTGTTTGGTGAACCACTGTATGCTCTGTGCTTTGCCAATGTACGGGGAGATCTCTTGTTTGGCTTCCAGAATCATGTTTGGTAAGTAAATTATAATGTATCTGTTTAATTATGGTTGATTTGTAGAAATTAGTTAAAATCTAATAAAAGTGTAATAAAATTATAAACACTTCTAGGCTTTCGGATTTGAAGTATTTTCCTCTCATTAACACTGCCTAGCTAAATCCAAACATCACACAGATTGATAGGAAGCTCAGCATTTTCCATATTTCTTGCCATTGGAGCTTCATATACAATAGTGTGGTCAACATCAATTAGGATAACAGAGAGGTCTAGAGTGATGATATTTGGCCAGTAGCATGCTGAGATGAAGGACTTTCCAGTTTTTTTAAATGAATGACCTTGATCTACTTTCAAGAATACAAATTTGAATGTCTTAAAAATCTTTCAACTTTTAACAAATCTTTTAAACAACTTCTTCTTCAGGTTCCTCAGGCCTAGACTAGTAACATTTTGCCTGCAGATTACTTTAAAATAACAAAGTTTTTTTTTTTTTTTTAAATAAATGACCTTGACTGACTTTGAAGTTTGTTCAAATAAATGACCTTGACAGATTTTGAAGGTTGTACACACGATTAAAATCTTGGAACAAAGATACAGAAAAATGTGGAATAATGATGTTTGGTCTTTTTTGTTAACTTATATAATGCTTTAAATGAAGATTTTTGAAATATTGTTATACCATTATTGTATTACTATATTATCATATTTTACCTTGACCTGCTCAAAAGGTCACAGATGTGAAATATGATTCCCAAGAGGAATAAAAAACAGGTCGGCGACAGCGATACAGGCTCAGTGGGCCTCTTGTTACAAAAAACAGGTCTGAGATCAAAACACAGGTCACAGCAAATCCAGCTACTGTACTCAACACACTCTTCCCAAGTGGTAGATGTGGATACCAGTTTTGTTGCCCTTTTTTCCCATCTGAAAAAATGATTAACTTTTCTGTTCTGACTTGCTTTCGCAGCAAAGCATATAGGTATCCACAAAGAAGGTCTAGTTTACTTCTCGGAATGAAAATCAAAGTTTTACTTCTGAAAGCGGAACTGTAATAGCGCTTTCAAAATTCAGCATATCAACTACTCAGAAAATAATTCAAGAGGTTTTCAAAATCTGAGAATATTAACTCATCAAATAGGAACTCAAAATATAGATATTACATCATTTGAGCTTTCATGTAGATTATACATGTAACTTAGTGTCATAGTAAGGGGTTAACATTACATTTAGTCCTGTCTATAATCAAATACAGTAAAATTATTGAACTTGTTATTCTAACCTTCATAGTAAGAGAAATAAAGATTGAAATTTTAAAGATATTTTGCCTTATAGTAAATAGCTTTCCGCAGTGTTTTGTCTCAGTAAATCCTCGATAATCCTAGCCCATTCTGTTTTTGTGATATACATATTTGTATTTAAAGAAAATATTCAAAATTATAAGTTATACCTTGGTATATAATTTTTAAGTTGATCATGCATATAAATATAATTACTCCAGATTACCTACCGATCACACGCTGTTCTAACATCAAATTATAAAATAGATTCAATCATTTGAATTTGTTCAGCTTTATAGATTTATTTAAATATTTACATTAAAAAAAAATTCAGATACATATCTATACTTTAACAAAATCAGTTGCTAAATTTACAATATTTATATAAAATAGCTGATTTTGATCCTTATTTTGCATAAAAATTTATGATGATTAAAATTTATAAAATTTGAATATTGGATTAACAGAATTTGCTCTGTAAGCTGACAAAGCTTGTGTGAACTTACTGATTGTAATCAGGGTTAAAAGCCGATCGGAGGTGATTTAATAACCAACAGATTGACTCGACCACAATACAGCTGAGGTCAGAGGTCACATTATACCAGGTGCTAGAGTGTGGCGGTAATAAGTAATGTACACCGTTAATCACAATTAACGTTAATTTGATATTTCTGTGGAATGTCTTGTGGACCTGTTTTTTTTTTATTTCAACTGTTTGTGGGATGATATTGGCTTGGCGGATTCATTTTACCATTAAACTTTATAGAAGGAGATTTGATTGACAAGGATACAAAAGTATCTTGACCTGTCACTGAAATTTTGACATTTTCTTGAGACGTAATTTTAAAAAGTCTGTTGCGTGTTTATGACAGATGAAACAATGGACCAATTGTCTGTAATAGTGTTTTTAATATGACAATATTTTTCCAATGGAAATAATTTATTCCACAAAACTTTTGGTAGGTAGATTTGTGCTTGATCGGACAGTTGAAAGAGTGGATCTGTTTGTCTGACATTCGTGTGGTTAGTGTGTAAACAATATTGCTGAGAATATCTGTTTGTCATTATCGGCTATTCAAATTAGAACATATGGATTCAGAATTTACACATCTGGAATGTACCTGGGATTGTCTTGCTAATCTGAGACTTCAACAACAGATTTTCAAAACATTTGGATGAATTTGTGGAGATTGAATTAATACAGATCCTTACTTTGAAATATTTTAACTCAATATTTCATAAATTCAACTGTAATGAGTTTGTAAATCAGTGTGGATAAACCGGAAACAATTGGATTTTAAAAAGTATTGGGAATTATCACTAAATTCAGCATTCTAGGATCTTCATTTTCAGAAAAGAAACCGGTAAGAAATTTGATTTACTTTTTATAATGAAAAAATAAAAATGTAACAGGTATATTTTTTGTGTAAATTGAAATTTCAACAATATTTATTCGTGAGATAAACAAATTAAATTGTGAAGTTGATAAAAAATTCCAAACATTTATCTTTTTTGTATGTCTCCAGAGAATTAGTAAGAATCTCTGTGCAGTTAGTTTAAGTTTTAAAATAGAATTCCAATACCGGAGTATTATGGAAATGTACTGATGGAAAAAAATGAAGACAAAAAGTAGTAACCTAAAATACATTTAATTACTTTATATATTTCATTACTTTTCATTCATAATCCTACAATGAAGTTAATGAAATCAGCTTGTCTGTCTGTCTGTCCATGCCAATAGGTTGACTTTTGTTGGGCCGATTTGAATATATTTTTTGCGTTGTTTTGTTTCCTAACTGCGGGGATAGTTTAGGGAACATTGATAATGGTCTCCGTCCGTTAAGAACTTAATGTTTGTGGACAACAGCTGATAATATTTTTAAACAGACTTTAATAAAATTTCACATCTATTGTCTCACTTCATGTACATTACAACGTGTTTTCCTTGTTGACTTTTCACGGGAGGAGGGGGTATGTACATTACAACATATTTTCCTTGTTGACATTTCACGAGAGGAGGGGGTATACGTATGTACATTACAACATATTTTCCTTGTTGACATTTCACGAGAGGAGGGGGTATACGTATGTACATTACAACATATTTTCCTTGTTGACATTTCACGAGAGGAGGGGGATATAGACATTATATCTAACAGCTCTACTTTCAACTGCTTACATTTGAAATGCCTTATAATTAGAATGGAATGGATTTAAAATGATTATGCACCTGAAGACTAATTACTCAAAGAAAATATTTGGAAAATAAATCGCTTTGGAAGTTTGAGTATTTAAGTTCCCACTGATCTTCAACAATATCTGTGTCATTTGAGGATCCCCATACTTCTGCCAAAAAACGTAACTATGATTTGGAAACTCTTTTTCACATTCTGATTATGGCTCTGATGGGTTTTTTTCTGAAAAGAAAACAATGCTTTGGGGGCTAAACCGGTGTCATGTGAGATTTGTGTCCCCCGTAGAATAAGTATCCGGGTACAATATTTGGCGATGAGATAAGTAGAAAAGTATCTGGATGAATGGCCGTAGGATAGTTCCCCCACCCGCCCCCCATAGGAATTGTATCCCCCCTCAATTTTATTACGGGATTAAAACCCTGGACTTCATATTGTTATACTAGCGCTCTAATTGACTGAGCTACAGGGTTCCTGGTCAACTGAAGTATCCTGGCACAACTGATCTACAGTTATATCCAAAATGCAATTTGCTCATTCACCCCCGAGGACACATTTGAACTTTTCCAATTGAAGGGTTGGAATAGTTCATTATGAAAGTTCAGGGGTGAATGGGTTAAGGGGAGGTTACTCTATATGAAAAACCACAATGCAGTTGGACATATTGGATCCTTAAAAGAAGAAACATTCTAATTGATATTTTTTGAATGTCAGATCAGATCTGTAAACTTTCCAATAATATGTGTCCTGAAGCTGATGGCTAGAATAAGTAGTCTCAGACTTAATTTGAGCCCTTAATATGTAGCTGAATTAACTGGTTGGTGACCATTTGTCCCACAGCACATATATTTTCATCAAACAGGAATGCTGATTGTTAAAAGAAATATGATTAACAGAGACAAAAACAACTTCTGTAGTGTCTGGAGTATAATTGATTCATCTCCAGGAAACAAAAAACCTTGTTTACCTACTTGAAGTACAATAAAGGTAAAAAAACTATTAAATATCAGTCGTAACCCCTCTTAATGACTATATTTAGAGTAAATCAACAAGGTATTTTTTATCTCCTTCAATTAATGACAAATTTGTTTATCAGGCCTTTAACAACAACATCATGCCAAGACTTGGTGGCAGCATATCAAAAGGTTTTTGAACAAAATCTGATTGATATTAAAAAATATCTTATAGCCAGCGTGTTAAGATAAAATCATTGTCTTTTGGAATGTTGGTAATTATTTTACTTAGGGTGGCCCACATATTGTATAAACCTATACAATTCTTTTGATACCCGTAAAGAGGTCCAATTTGTTGAGAGGTCAGAGTGGTTTAGGAATCATAGGGAAGTTTCAATTTTCATCTTTCAATGTCATAATCATTCGTACGATTGATTCGAAACATTGTTTTAAACTGTTAAAGGAAGAACGCTGGTATCTGTTTTCATAACAAAATGAATGAACAATCCTAATCTTTAACCTATTGTCTGTAATATTATAAAAATGCAGAATAGAAACAAAACAAATATTGAATTGAGCTCCATAAATATACTGAAGGATGTTAATCTTGATATTTTTTGGCTTGATACATTTTCTTGACCAGTTTTATAACTTAATCATGCGTAAGACAACTTAGCGCTGATGAATGGTCATGGGAACAATTTTAGTCCGATACTAACGTGTTTTATTTTGTGAAGTTCTTTGACCTCCTACATTTGAATGTAGATTATCTGAATAGCTAGGGTATTACATTTCGTCATTCCGTGGTATAACTTATGCAATGGACACTGGTTAGGTTAGGTTTGGTTTTAACCCTTTTACCACTGTAGACCATAATGGACTCATCCATGTCAATGGATGGTAGAGGCTACTAAATGTACAATTAAAATCTGCTCCCATGCATCCCATGTTCTAGCTGCCTGTCACCACAGGGAGGGGCCACGGACACCATTTGTAACAGGAAAGAAAATAGTGTGCTCCAACTGGGATCAAACCCAGATCCCTAGGTTCCTAGTTGGACGCTCTACCACTGAGCTAAAGGGAAACACCCGATTTTTGACCCAAAAAATGAGCACTTTCAAACAGTGAATTTGCTAAACTATTTCTATTTTCTAAGATCTGATGATTTCACTTGAAAGACCAGGGCAAAAGATGTCATTAAAAAGTGTTATGTTTTCCCTAGGGTGTACATACACACATTTTATTTATGCTTTTAATACCTAGCACACGTAATCTCCCCATGGAAATTGTAAGTCTGTCGTCCACAGTAACTTGTCTGTGCAACTCCTCCTTAACTAACAGGTTGATTTCATTGAAACTTCGCATGAATGATCGGTGTCTTATGTAGTTGTGCACATGCAGGTATTTTAATTTGGGATTTCAACGCTTTTTGGTGGAGTTATGCCCCTTTGTGCGAAATACTTGTTGAAACTTCACTTGAATGATGGCTTTACTATGTAGTTGTGCATCGGCATTTTAATTTTAGATTTATAATGCAAAATTACTTGTCTGGTGTCATGCATAAAATGTACCTCCTGCTTAAATAGTATCTGAATACTCCTTTTTATACCCCTACCAAAAAGTAACCCCCGTGTATAAAAAGTACCCCTCTATGAAAAAAACTAATGTTTCAAAATTTTTAATCAAAAACAGTTCAGAAGTAGATCAGAAGATTAAGTCGCATGTTTATCCATCCTACCCCAACAATTTCCACCTCCAGGGCCAGGAAATTATGCCAAAATAACTTGCAATCACTGGGCACAATTAGGTTTAGGGAGTGATGAAGAAACATTTATAATTATGTTATTATCATTACCCAACCTCTCTTCTTTAACTCCCCACCCCGCGGATACTTTTTATACACCCGACCAAAATGTACCCCCCCTCCCCACCGGAAACATTTTATACCCTGACCAAAAAGTACCCCCCTATGAAAAAAAAGAAATCTCCTTTTTTATCCATTTGCCAGATGCTCGCAAACATAAAAATTCCAAAACTTATAAATCTAATATGAAGGGAAACTTATGACAGATCCTCTATACATGGTATGCTGTATACTAAAAATTATTTGTCCTTTTTACGGAAGGCAAAAAAAGCAAAAATTAAACTGTCGAAAAAAGTTTGTTGCTACTAACTCCAACAGGATATTGACTAGGATCTCAGTGGGATCTGAACTGGGCATCCCACCTTAACAGGAAAAAATCTGTGGGAATCGTTCCCAGAATTCTGAATGTAAAGCTCACCCAAAACTCCCAGTGGGAATCCCATCCAAAATTCCCAGTGGGAATCTCACCCAAAACTCCCAGTGGGAAACCCACCCAAAAATCCCAGAGGTAATCTCACCCAAACCTCCCAGTGGGAAACCCACCCAAAAATTCCAGTGGTCTCTCCCAAAACTTCCAGTGGGAAACCCACCCAAAAATCCCAGTGATAATCTCACCCAAACCTCCCAGTGGTAATCTCACCCAAAACTTCCAATGGGAATCCAACCAAAAAATCCCAGAAGAAGTTAATAATTAAGTAATATTCTTACCCAAAACTTTCTCTGTAAATTCCATCTAATAAATCCAAGTGTGAATCCTGCCCAAAAGTTTCAGTGGGAATTTCTGTCAAACATTCTACTGGGATTTCCACCCAAACATCTGTTTATAGTATATTGTGACCCAATGGAGTACTGTGCTGGATGTCTTCGGGATGGTATTTCAGTGAAGTAGCACTCTCAAGTTGGCATCAGATCCGAGCTATAAGCAAGGAGACAAATACAACCAACAAACTTCACACAAACAACGTAACACACACTGAGGCACATTCTTAAAAGCATGAAAAATGTTAAAATAAAACTAAAGCTAAAATATGAATTCCATTATACAATTCCTTCATTCAATTTATCTCCAAACCCCTTTGTAATGCTGAAATTTTTCTGGACAAATGGTGGCAGTATAACGAGGTTTAAACCTCTATAAACTTGCTATCTCACCTGGATATTTCCTCTGATGCCAGAATTGAGGAATCCTCAGGTTGTATACATAATTGCATACTGGACAAAATTTCTCTTGTTCAAATGTTCACCATCTTAACCCTTTCACCCCTATGTAACTTTAGTAGACTCTACCATGCGTTGATATGGATGAGTCCATTATGGTTTACAGCGGTGAAAAAGTTAAGAAGACACGTTTTATCTCTTCTATTTTCAGTTCCATTCCCCTGACAAGTTATTTCCCACAGAACTACCTTGAGAGAATTGCACTACTTGATTTCCTGGTAAAGACACTTTATCTTTCATCTCTATCAATTAATTAATTAATGTATTTATCATCGTGGTTTCCACCAATAAGTTGATATTGTCTTGGGCCTGCCTGTATTTCTTGATTGGTCCATAAGCCTTAGTTTCTCACTGAAAATAGCAATATAATCTCTAATTTCATTATTATGGTTCAAGTTTAGGAAATTTTCTTGTACCTGTCCAGGATATCAATATATTATAACAAATGTTTATATGGATGACCTTTGTTTGACCTTTGAACTATTGTTTTCAGGATGACCTGAGGGAAGATGCTGTTGTATACAATAGTGTAGTCAAACCATGGTAAATATTCTTCTCAGTTGCAAGTTGTTTGACTCGGTCACCATGCTTGTTTAACCCTTTCACAACTTTAGACCATAATGGACTTGTCCAGATCAATGCATGGTAGAGACTTCTAAAGTTACATAGGGGTGAAAGGGTTAACAAATTTTGTCATCTACATGTAAGTTAGAAATAATATAATTGATTTTTTCATTTTTTTCCCATTTCCCAATTTTTAATAATAAAAGAGCTGATGATTTCGTGATATTTGTGTATTAATTTATTAAAACATAACATTATTCAGGGTTGTTGCACAGTAAGTAACAACAACCCATATAGTGTAACACTTCATTTAATATTGGGGATTTGCACTCTATTGCACATTTTCCTTGATCTTCACAAATGCTCTTTATTGATACAGTACCAAATGTCTGATAACCAGAGTAGCCTCCCCATGGTGTAAAAGTAGGATGGTGTATGTTCCCTTAACATAAAACAGTTTGATTACCCTATTAATAATATATAATGCTTAAATCCCGATAGATTTTCCTCGTATTTAGGTTTGACACACAAAGTCAACTGTACGATACAGACCCAGCTAGCGATCCCATACCCAGAGTAGCCTCCCCTTAGTATACATCCACAGTAGCCTCCCTTTAATATAGGTGTTAATCCCCTTAACTTTATCCTTGTTCTAGGTTTGACCCTCAACAGTTGCCTAGATACAGCACCACTCTTTCCCAGAGAGTTCAGGAACAAACCAAAAAAGACAAGACTGCAAAACAGTTGGCGATTACAGACTTGGAGGCTCTACCTGAAGATACCTCCAAACAGGTTGAAGGTCAATCAGAAAAAGAAAACGGTAAATTTTATATCTTATTGATAATTACACCGATAAAAATATGAAGAAGTGTCAGTTTAAATGTCTATTGTGAAACAGCTTTATCAGAATTCAACATGAAGGAATGAAAACTTACAATTTTAAGGATACTGTTACCCTTCAGTAGGCCCGGCCAACTCATAATATTTGAAGTATTTTAAGTATTTGGGTGGGCTTATTACATGGCAACGAAATAGCGTTTCTTGGCATTTCTACTGAACTGCTCTTGATATGGGTGTGCATAATTATTACAGGATATATATATGGTACACTACATCATTGTACAATTTCAATTAACTGATGTCTGAAAATAAACAAATTAGGTGTAGTTCATGATTATAAACATTTTGACAACTCTTGACATAATTGTAAATTGCTAAACCTGAGGATCAAAATGTCAATTCAATTCATTTTCATTTTAGAAGAAAACAAACAAGATGCAGACAGAATTGAAGAAAATATTGATGTAGATGAAAAGTTAAAGGAGGATGTGAGAGCTGAAGATGATTTAGATGGAGGTGAGTATGGAGACATATACAGGGTGTAACCTGTTTGAGACAAGCACAGTGTTATATGGGTCTGTTTGTTTAACAAAGATTAACTTAACACTGTGTTCAGGAAAATATCAAATCTAAAATGCTTTAATAAATATTGACATTAATAACAACATTTGCATATATCAGGATTTTCGATCTCCCTACAATTAACGAAAAATTATTAAAATATTTGAAACAATGTTTTCGAAATATATCATTTGGAATTGTTTGGTTAACTTCATGTTAAGCTGACAAAGCTTTGATCAACTGAACCAAGGCTTTCAGCTTTCTCTGCCTATGTCATTCTATATAATGAACCTGTGTGATTCTGAACAAAGTATTCTTAGCTGTATCGTGTTCAGTGTGAACAGGCTTCATGGTACAATCAAAAGCACACATTCTGATTGATTGTAGCCAGTGTTAAAAGCAATAATTTCATAATATCTTGACAAAGGCATTCTAGAGCTAATTAGCTGAAATACTTTTTTAAAGATTGTACAAAAATAGAATCCCAGAGGATGCATTATTCTGAGCTGAAGTTATTACCTCATAACCTGACCCAAAAATCAACTTCCTTACAATTGCAGTAAATATTGATCTATTAATTACTAATATTCAATTCTCATCCCTCAGTAATTAATGTTTTTGTTAATGGCAGTGTTCCAATATTTGGATGCTCATGAATTCTGACCCAGAGTGCTATCAGTTAATACAAAGAATTCTTACATACCTTGTACTTGCCAACTTACAAAAAAAAAGTCTTGGGGCAGATTAGATTTGTTCAGAATTAAAAACCTAACTAAAATATGTGTATGTGTACACCTTAGGGGGGAATGACACTTTCAAATGCCATCCTTTGAATTGTTCTTTCAGATTAAATCATTAGATTTTAGAAAATAGGAACAATTTAGCAAATTCACTGGTCGAAAATGGTCAAATTGAGGCTCCAAAATCTGGAGTCTCCCACCTTAATAGAGTGTTGTCAAGTACCGGTATGATACCTATGAACAAATGTGTCAATTTATTGTTTTAAGTTATCTATTAATTAAACCAGTAATAGTAATTTATCGAATGCAAAAAATAACCAATTGGTTTGGAACTCTTTAAGAAAGTTGAGTCATGCCAAAGTAAAGGTAGCATGGAGCCTTAATTTTAACATCTGAAGATAATGGTACAAATTGTCACCAAGGGGACGTGGCTTGATGTTGTTTTCTGTGTCATCTGCTGTACTTGACACTGGTACTCTCAGATAAAAGGGGTAGACACTCAGGCATAGGTCACCGAGTTATCTCGGGGATAACATCCCATAATACTCACTGATCATCATTGTCTCCCAAGTAGATAAGGCCATGCAAACAATTTCTTAGTTTCTGCTAGATAAATGTGTTAAATTGAGAATGAAATGAAGAAATTGTTTTTGAAATGTGTAGATCTTTAATGAAAAATATGGTAATAGGTCAAAATATTGGTGAATGTTCAATTCTGGAAACAATTGAATTTTAACCCTTTCACCCCTATGTAACTTTAGTAGACTTTACCATGCATTGATATGGATGAGTCCATTATGGTCTACAGTGGTGAAAGGGTTAATACCGGTGATAGTTATGTAGGCTGATAGAGCATATTTCAATGAAAGGAGGCAAAGTTGGTGGCACCCCTATTCCAGACAATCGTCCTACATGTAACAAAAAACTTTATATGCTGAAATGAAATTGTTTTTGAAAAAGCCTTTAACAATTAAGAGAGTTGGCACCTGATGGTGACCTTGGGATGCTGCAATTTTTCCTACCAAGGTTTTTAGTATAAGATTGAGACACAAATAGGTCTAATAACGAATGTTCAAGTTGCATTGGCCACATATTTTCGCAGATCAAGACTGAAATCAATCCTATATTCATTATTATATACAGTCACTCTAGATAAAAGACAGCAAACTTTTAACCAGAATTGTTTTATGCTGATGATGAAATGCATGATGGCTGACTGCATTGCAGTTTCTATATACATGTAGCATACCACTGGAGAATCACTAATTATAAAGGGTAAAAATCACACTGTCAAATGTCTGATCTGTGTTATGTCTGTAAGTCAACAACGTTAATGTGAGAAGCAGTGTAAATACTTACGATCTTAGCTTTGAAGAGTGAAGGGAATATGTTTGATGTCATCCGCTGTGTCGACACATTTTAATTATTCATCAAGGTAGATATTCTAGGAGAATTATTCCATGTGTGACAAATCAATTTCATGCCTGTTTGACAGGTGACAAGGTCAAGGTGAGCAGCATAAGAAACGGTGTTCTGTTACTGTTAATTGTTGTATATATGGCAAGCTATTGTCTGATATATAATGTTCTTAACTCTCTTATTTCTTAATGCATGTTTTTTGTCGAGCATGAAATCTGTTGAAATTTTTTTTTCTTTTCATCTTTGAGATGAAAAATATTTTTGTCAATCGATGTCTTATACCAGAGGAAATTCAGTTTTTTTCTAGCTGTTTCATTATAATTAGGCCCCAATTTGTAATTAACATAAAAAAAACCGGGAATCATTGTAAAATTGAGAAAATACAGAAGCATTTTATTGCAAATATTGGTTTTTATCCATAATAATACTTCGTTTCATAAGCTGGGTCCTTGCAAAACTTATATGAGAGAAAATATAATTGAAATAAACAAGAAAATCAACAACAGTACATGAACTAGTGATCTGAATGCAAAAAAATGCAAAGGGGTCTTGACCAGGATTTGAACCCCACACTTCTGTTCATGGCAGCTGTTATACTGTCACTCTAACCAACTGAGCTGCCTGGTCAGCACTAGAACTATGGCCCAGTTGTGCTGTAGTTTTATCCAAAAAGATCTCAAGGGGGGGTTACTCTATTTACAAAAAAGCTATAGTGGAACTCTCCAGTGTTTTGCCTGGAGTGGGACTGGGATCCTTAAGACATTAATATAACTCTTAAAACCACTTGTTATAAGGCTACAAAAAACTTAAGTGTAATTGTGTTAAAGTTACACAGGTTATATAATAAACTTTCTCTGTATATTTGGAATAATGCGGTTAATTGTAAAATTTCATTGCTCATGTCGCACATATAAAACTGTCTTAGTATATTATTAAAGGTTTATCGTAATGATTGAAAACATTGTTCCTAATATCAGATAAAAAATCTACATTTGTGAAATATTTAGAATTGCCCAGCGTTTATGTGCATCGAGTGTGAAATTGTAGTTAAGTTGGATATAGACCAGCCCCATGTCCCCGTACATTGCGTTACTGTGTTAGCTATGTCTCAGGGTTTCAATGTCAGACCGCGCCTGTTCCATCACGGACGAGAACACAATGATGACTTGTGATTCAGAATCTGTGTATTGGTCTCCATTTCTATGTCAACTTGATCAACATCACAAACAGAAATTGCTTTGTTCATTATAGTAACCAAGAAACCTCACTCCCCTTTATTGTAGGATAGACTGGACCTGATCGACTGGAAAGCCAGTCTATTGTGCAGTAATGGGGGTGGTCAGGTATTGGTTTTCAGGGGCTAGTTACTTTCTCTTTTATCTTGATAGTTATGAAATAAAACTTTGGTGTTTTATTTCGTGGCTGAATTAGTTTGTTCAGGTTTTTAAAAAGCCAGTGGGAGTGTTGTATATTATATAGATTAGTCATATATTAGTTTTTGATTTGAGTTTGTTCATCCCTATAACTGTATGTGTTTTCGCGTAACAACTGCGGCATGTAAATTGGTTTTCACATTTTATATAAGATGCTTTTTGAATTCATTCATTTAGCGATCCAAACTTTTATCTTATACACTTCTGGTGATCCTTTTTGTTGCTGTTCGTCTCTAAGGAGATAACACTTTACGGAGAACTTGTAGAAGTAACACCCTGGAATATACTGTGAATTGGAATTTGTACGTTTTTGGAGACAAATCATTTATCAAAATGTTGATCAGTGGGCGAATCAACGCCATGCATAATACATGCGAGTACCATGGTAAGTTAGGTGAATTTTGTACCGGTTTACCTGTTATCTATGTAAATGGGAAGGTGTGAGGTTGTTAGGTGAATTTTGTACCGGTTTACCTGTTATCTATGTAAATGGGAAGGTGTGAGGTAGTTGTCAGGAATTTATCTGGGAATTCGGGAAATGGACCTGTCTTGAAATTTGGAAAGATCTTAGGACATTAACTGTCAAATGTCAAATGTTTATTTACCATGTTATAGAAAATAACATTTAATCGTTTTATTTGTTTGAAATGTCTATTCTGATCTGCTATATTAAAAAAACTTAAAAAATATCATTTTACAATTTTCTCAGTAGTTGTGAATTTTTCTGGAAAATTTGGAGAAAAGAGGACTATTTTTCAATTAGGAATGGGTCTGTTAATGGGCCTCAGATGTGTGTGAAAAGTCCATTATAATACACACTTATTCCTCATTGATTGGTTGAAAGGTCACTGTGCCCTTATTTTAGTTGGGAGAATTCTGTATCATGTCGTTCAAAATAATGCCATTTTCACATCACTGAAAAAAATAGTTTTGAAGGTGCGTGGACAACACGGCAGAATCTTCAGTAATATTGGATGTATTTATTTCAGCCTTGTGATGCTTAACAAAATTGAAACGTTTCAATAGTTACATACAAAAACAATTCTGGGTCCTTATTAAAATAAATCCAGAAATTAAAAATAAAAATGATAATGAACAGAAAAGAAACTATTTCATGAAGAAAATTAAATTACTGGAAAGCATGCAAATCTGAGAATTATACTTGTTAATGGATATCAATTGATATTCTTTGTATATTATTAGATCAATAAATTGATATGGGTGTATTGACAAAATCAAATTAATCAATATTTCTCGTGTTGGAGATGCAGGTGCCCCATAGTAGTCATGCGATAGTGTTTGTCTTTCTGTCCACTCTTTTGTTTCCGTAGAATATTTGTATATGTAGATGTGCAATAGGGGTTTATAATTTCTAAAGTAAAGGTCACTGTTGCTAAAAATAGATCGTGGGGGTTACTGTTGATCTTATTCCGGAATCCAAAAGTCTAATCTTTTTCAAAATGGACATGATGATACACTGATATGTAGATGCTTTAGGGGTTTAAACATTTTTAAGGTCAAGGTCAAGATAACTGTTACTTAGAATAGACTATGGGAGGGGGAAGAGGGTCATGCATAGCAGGGCTCCTGCTGACCTGTTAGTGTTCTAGAAAATAGATCAGAAAATAATTTGTCAAATGTTATCTGTTGATGGTAAGTGATGTTACATACTGTACAAGAACATATTTTAGTGGTAATGTTACCTTTTCTTGACAGATTTTGAATTTAGTGCCGAAGTTGAAATAGGATCCCCATTTGAAAAACCTTTGTCTAGAGTTTGCCAATCACAGAGGAGTATGGTGTCACGTGACAAAGCTGGGAGTCGTGGGGACAGAAAACGTGAGTATGCATGGTTACAACTTGAACTCAGCAACTTTAGGTTACTGTATAGTTTTTAATCTTCGATACTTTTCCAAATCAAATCTTAATGCTCTAAATAGTATACTCTTTTTCTAAACCAAAGAAGTTTCTCATTACTGATATAAACTTAAGACACATACTGGTTGTCTTTTTCTGAATAATAATTCTAATAATTCTGAATAACCAAAAGGCCCAGGATGTTGGTATTTTGCCACTAGCCTGCTGGGATGAAGCGCTACCAAGTTTGTTTAAATGAAAGATCTTGAATTATATTCAAGTTCACAGGGGTCAAAAATGTTAAAATCTTTAAACGACCTCTGAATATTTATGAGGCCCAGAATGTTGATATTTGCAATTGGTCAGTAGCATGCTTGGGTGAAGGGCTATCAAGTTTTTTTCATTTGAATAAGCTTGACCCACATTCAAGGTCACATTTGGTTAAATATATATAAACATTTAAATGACCTAATTTCATTAAACAAAAGGATAGGGTAGTGATATTTTGCAAGTTGCATCCTGAGATGAAGGACTATATAAAATTTGTTTAACATGTTGACCTTGTTCGACTTTCAAGGTCAAAAGACTGAAATGTTTTAAAATCTTTTAACAAGTTCTTTTTAATGACTTTTAATCATAAATACTGATATTTTGCCAGTAGCTTTATTTTAGATCACTTTTAAGGTTACAAGTGTGAGATTGTAGGCCCATTGAGCCTCTTGTTTATTTCTGTGTTTCACTTGGCTCACCTGAGTAATAGGCTGTTCTTAGACTTAACAAACAAATAAATTCAAAATATTGCATTAACAACTAGTGGGAACTATTTAAATCAACTGAAGCCATTTAACAGGTATTACCTCATCGTTATTATAGCGGCCTTTGCCAAGAAGCAGGGACACACCCAATTACTTTGTATTATATCTGTTTTAAATTCGATCTCAAACCTTTTTGTATAAAGCATTTAGGTAATTTTTCATTCAATAGAATTAGATATATGTTATTGATAAAATGGAATTAAACAATCACCCAACTCTAATTGCAGAACAATAATTAACATCTGAATAGGTAAACAATAAACAGAAACATAATATACAGGCCAAAATAATATATAATAAAAATGTTGCATGATATAAAATGTATAATACTGTTCATAAATCTAGGAAAATTTGGATGTTTTATTATTATCAACTAAATCAATTACTGTAAAATTATTTGTTTCAGCTGTTTATAACTCTTGCCCTTTTCACCCTCCACAGCGAGTAATATTAAAATTGTCATGACAACAAATGTAAAACAAATATGGACTTGACCATTTGAAGCTGAAATTTTTACTTAACGAATGTTCCTTGTATACAGATGTACTGGTCTATATCCCGCTGTTTCTAACGAGTCAGGTGATATATATATAGCAGTAATGCTTGCCCCACTTTGTTAAGGTGACCGACCATCTACGATCACTATCCCTCCACCACTGGGTTCTAAGTTAGAGGCATTCATTGAGCAGTCGCTAGGTACTGGTCGCAGGTTGGTGTTATTTTCTCCGGGTACTCCAGTTTTCCTCCACCACCAGAACCTGGTATGCCCTTAAATGACCATATAGCCATTAATAGGATGTTAAACACAAACAAACCAAACCAAACCACAACATGTTTTAATATAATATAACTGCAGCTTTTATAGATCTCATCAGATTGAAGTGTTAGGAAACCTAATGATTGCCAGGTTTTAATATGCCACAAGGATTGGTTGTGATTTCTATATACAGGCCCTGTAGACCTGTTCTTCTTTATCAAGTGATAAACTGTTCTACCGTGAACTAATAAATTGTAAGGGTGATTAAACAACAACAAGCCTTTCAGAGCTAATAATATACCTAACAAACCAAACACATACACACCCTGTATTTTAAAACCAGAAACATTTAAATTGTTGACAGCTATACTGTTGGGTCATGCTGTTTAAGGTGCATGGCTGAGGTTTTCTGAGTTCACATTTATTATTTTGGACCCATATGATTAGGTTGATATGATTTGTCACTGCCCTGTAAAAGAAATCTTTACACGAAGCTTATAAATATAAAATATTAGGCATGGCAGCTGTGTAGCCTGCGCCAACTGATAGTGAAGTGGAGGGAGGTGGGGAGGGGGAGAGGGTGGCAAATTGAAATTTGTGGGGATCCAGGTAGGGCTTTCTTCCCCAGAAGCTGTAGAATTTTAAGCATGAAAAGGTCAGTCAGTCGCCAAAACATATTTTGAAATATCGATAGGGGACATCTGAACCCCATTCCCATCCCCAACCCCACCCCCAACCCCATCCCCAACCCAAACCCAAGGTTCATGGTTGACGTTTTCTGAGTTCACATCAGGACGCGATGTGGGACATATCCCTGTCTCAGGTATGAGAAGAAATGAGTTTGTACAATGGGTGAAAATAATAGCAGTATAAATGTTGAGCATGTGTTTGTCAAACTGAATTGTTACAGATGTTTGCAAAATAATAGACTGGAAGTTTCAGTTATGAATAAGTGCAGATCTCCAAGGCGCCTGTTGATCATGACTGTCTATGCATGATCACTAGCCCTCCACCAAAATCTGGCTTGTCCTTTAAAATGACCATTAAGCTGATGTCAAGTACCTCAGTCCCATGATAGTCTGTTGAGACTACTGTGTGACCCTGTATGACCTTGTCAATTAAAATATACTGTGTGGACATTGCATGACCCTGTAGTGTGAGCAGACTTAGGACTTCTGTGTGGCCGTGTATGACCTATTAACCTTGCTGTGACCCTTTATGACCTTGATATGTTGATAGACTGTTATTAGTTTTAACAAACAAGCAAACATTATACTTATCTCAGTATCAATCATCTCAATGGTTCATTGCGTGACAATATAATTGGTTTTAAATTAATCTCTGATCATGCAATATTATTTAGATGTAGAAAAACACTTCTTTTTTCGTGAAGTTATATATTGTTTTAACATTGGTATAGTGGTAGGCTTTTCAACAAATTTAATTTTTGCATGATTTGTTGGAATGTATTGATGTCCTAAAGCCGATATCAGTGTAATAAACAAGTGAAATTTGTTAAGCAAAACTGCCAAAAGCGAAGAGGGTTCAGAAACATTGGATTAAATTTGAAAAAAAATCTTGTCTAAGTATAAATGATGGTCGTAATGAGTCTAGTGTTATGAAGTTCAATAATGAAGTAATTTAATAGCAGGTATTGATGATTTCTGATAACAAGTGTTTGTGTACAAATCAAACCCACACAGGCATATAAACTAGTCATTGTTTCATCATAAAACATTATCAGATCTAACAGATGTATGTTGATTTGTTGATTAGGACGTATACAATGTACAATTATCGTATTTAAACAAGGGTAATTAGAAGGATATATATAATTTTTGAAGGATGGCATTAAATATTTGGCTGATAACTTTGGTATTTATTGACTGATTTACATGAAACTTGGTCAAGATGTTCAGTTCACAAAAAAACACACTGAGGGTCAACGTCAAATTTAGTATCTTTTCACTGGTGAACATTTCGTTAAGACACTTTGAAACAAGGAGTCATTTGACCAAAGATAAAGGTCACTGGGTCAAAGGTCAATGTCAAATTTTGTATCTTTTCACTGATGAACATTTTTTTTATGTTATTATGAAGCAAAGTTGTTCAAAACTTAACACGGAGTCAACTGATCAAAGGTCCAGGTTACGGGGTCCAAAGGTTCAAGGTCAAGGATAAGTTTTGTATTTTTCACTAATGAACATACTGTTATGACATTATGAAGCAAATTAAGTTGGTCGGAATTAAAGAATAAGTCAACTGACCAAAGATCAGGGTCACTGGGTTATGGATCAAGGTCATTTGGGTACAAAGGTCAAAGACAAAGTGGATCTCTGACTTTGCATGACCCTGGCTCTTGATGGGGGAGGTATTTAAGGTTAAATAAAACAAATCAAAGCTAACAAATGAGTATTGCACCGGAATATGGAGGTGGAAGGAAACAAGACTCACATCATAGTACATGTAAAATGTATATATGTTGCTTCCTTGTGATTCTTTTTAAAGTCCAAAAGTCAAGCTCAGCTATATGGGCAGATTGCTTCCTGATGATTATGGGGGATATATTGCCACAAGACGGGGCCCTTACTGACCTGTCAGTGTTCTAGTTATACTTGTTATGCACAAGTTACTTCCGTTTAGTCAGACTCTGCTAGGGAGAGCTCAATCAAAAGATTAATAATACACTGACTGTTTCTGGTTCGATCCGTAGCCGGGGCATCGAAAAAATAACGGCTTCGGTTACATAAGTATTTGATCAAATGTCATAAAGACAATACACGGGGATCACAGCGATACTGAAAAAATTGAAATGATTAAGTCTATCTTTTTCAGGAAACCTCAGTGACGGGATTAGCCCGAATAACCTGGATGAGCTGTTACCATGGGAACGAGAGCTGCTGAAGCGACGCTCCAACATCATTCCGAAAGATGGTATAAATGTATTTCACCTATAGATTAGCTTCAGTGCTGTGGTTGCATTGCATGGTGATAAAATAATGGTTCACAAAGATTAGGTAGATGTGTATGACAGAATATATCTGTAAACAAAAAATAAAATTAATATTTACATTAACGCTAAATATAGAGTCGCTAAATAAACCTACCAGCGCAAAAAGTTATCAAAGCGTGACACCAAAAACTTTTACATTTAAATGATTTTCAATAATAAATAATTTGTGTTATACTGAGTAATTTGAGGTCCAACCATGTTAAGGTGTTAAGTTCAAACTGAGATTAAAAAAAAGTCCTGAATGGTTCCAGGTTTATGTTTGTGACCTGATGGAACGTGTCATCATAGAAAATACGACCAAGTCAAAACAGTGACATGTATCATGTACCAAAAGAAACCAACCGGAATGATATTAATAAAACTGAACATTCTTCATTATTTTTTATACAAATATAGATTATATAGTAAACCCAGTTAAACCCTAACTGTTTTAGAATCCTATTAAGCAAAACTCCTCCTGAACTGTTAGTTGTAATATTTTTGTATGGTTACCTTGCACAATGAAAGTACATCATATGTAGATGTACATACATGTAGGAAGGGATTTGTGATTTGGCTATTATCAGTTGAAAAGCACAAAGGAATACTAGATAAGATGAAGTCACCAGGGGGTATATCTTTGTGTGCTTCCTCACAGTTTCTCTAGTTAACTCTCTCACCCCTGAAGACACATTTGAACTCTTCCAATTCAAAGGTTGGAATAGTTCATTGTGAAATTTCAGGGGTGATCAATGAGTTAATGTTTAGGATCCACGTACCACTGCCAAAAACTGTACGTGAATTGGAAACATTATTACCAGCATGACTAGAGTTTTAACAAATCATAATTTCTGAAAAGAAACCCATAGATATTGGAACTGCTACTGAGCTACCAGATCAGCAATATTTACATACCTGACCCAGTCCCACTACAAAGGTATAGCGAAAACAAAATTAAGGGGAGGTAACTGTTTCTATGTTCAGTGGTCTTTCATATCTGGCCTGCAGTGAGACAGGAATCTAAGAGAATATGTATATTTTAATCCCAGAGTAAGATTTGTATATATTGTATAACAAAATGAATGCTTGTATATTATAGGGTACATTCCCAACTCTGTCATCAGGAAGAACCTAGCTTTCGTCCGACCAGTCACTCCAACATTTCGGAAAAAGGATATATGGACACTCAAACCGGTGAGGGCTATGACTTCTATAGTTTTCTAGATTTCCTCAAGCTTCTCTCTGTGAAATCTTTTTAAGTGCCTGACTCAGAAATTTATCATGACAATAGATTTTATTTAT